TTACTTTTAGGTTGTAGCCGTCATTATGATCCTTGCACGAGCAGCTCTAAGTAGAAAACTTTATTTCAGCGCTGCCGTTGACTTCAAATAACCGTTTTTGGTCTTGTTATTTTATGTGTACATACCTTGGTAGAACGAGCTCTGTTCCATATTATCTTTTATTGGATTAAAGGCTGACAGAGAAAAATAACTTAATTGCTTTGAATTCTTAATGACCGGGGAAAGAGCCCCTGAGATGTACTAGGCTGTTCAGAAAGTTCCTGGAATGGGCCTGTTCTGAAAATTATATTGGCGCAATTGTGGCCAATAAGCTTTAAAAAGAAAAAAATCTTTAGATACCTCTATAAGATTTGATGCCTTCAATTAGGACGCCTACAAAGCAGACAGAAAACCCGAAAATTTTATGTGTTTATTGCTCTTGTAAAATCGCTTTTACTTATGCTTAATAATTCTAAACAATGGAGTTCCTATTCCTCAACCTGGATTGTCCTAGCGCTTAAGATTTTTTTACAATAAAATATTGAATGCTGGTGATAGTCATATCATTGATTTCATAATGTAGAATCTAAATTATATTGTAATAATACTTGAATCAATAACTAGATCTCGTTATGCTGTTATCAACAGCTGCTAGGTACTACGGTAAGCTTCTAGTATTACAATAAAAACGACCTCTAAATATTTATTATTAAATTTCAGGTTCGGTGCTGTTGTTAAGTGTCGCTTGAGCTCTTTATTATATCATTACGATCATTTTAACATTCCCATTTTTGTTTTCATAATAAACAAACAACTTAAAGCTATCCAGTTTGTGTTCTTCCGCTACTTTTGAGTATTTGATGTAAAAATATATAGAATGTAAAAATAAAAAATGTTTGTCAAAATTTCACACAAAAATTTTGAAGAAGATACTGCTTTTTAGTTTTTCCTTATGAAGACATTTAAAAATAAACCTTGCTAGAATGATTGACTTCGAGCTCGTGGCTTGTAGTAGTAGTAGTAGTCTTCTGATCCAATTCTACTACAGATAGCCTTTAAACGAAGAAGCGGATTAAGATCTACTATGATTCATATTCAATAGCACTGAAACATTTTCAAGCCACTATAGCCCTACTTCTGCAACCTATTGTTGTCACAGGCTACCTCTCTAAACACTTGGGGCAGGATCTCAGTCGGTCTCATCAATGCTGTAACGGTATTGATTTAATATGATGAGAAATAAACTAAAAATATATTGTATTGAAAAAATGAACTTTGTAGTTGTAGGAGCGCATAGTAATGAGAGTTGTACCGAATAGTCCCGGTACTCTACAACAATGCGTTATTTTGCAGACCACTGCTGGCCTCAGCAAAAACTGGTAAGTCAAAAGTTTTAGAGAGGACATATAATTATCTGTTATCGGATATTGGGCTCGTATTCAGAAACAATCGTGATAAAGGTACACCTATAACGGTCACAAATAACGTCAAACGCTATCATTGAATAGATAGTCGTAGGGAGCGCAAAGTAACCTTCAGCTAGGCTCTCCAGTCGCCTCCTCGATGTATTGAATCAACAGATTGGTAAGTTTATTATTAACTTACGTTTTTTTACCCATGGCCGCGCAAGGTCTTCGAATACCATCACGGCAGCTCAAATGACGGTTGAAATGTCCATGCACCCAAGTGAACCACTCTGTCCAGCCATAGCCATGTAACCTTCGTGATTTTTTCAGTCTTTTATATAACTTGTCCTATAATGCTGGACAGTTTTTTTTTTCGTCTTTTGTGTAGCGTCTTGCCATAAACAGCACTTTCGGTACCGCGTTCTACTCATCGAGAAAAACGGCAGTGAGTAAAACAGGTCGCTATTTTGTATCATGTTCGTGACCAAAATCTCTTAATTACTGTGTGGAGCGAAGAGTCTCTGTAGAGTAAAGATTGTAGCCTTAGATAAGAAGCTCAAAATTTCTAAACCCTTTGGCTGCTCGGCGTTCTTATCTACGTTGATATATGAACATTCTGCTAGAAGTAAATCGAAAAAGGCATAACGTGCCAACTTCCGCGAATTTAAAGAAATTTTTGATGAAATGATAACGGTTCCGATTTCACGGAGTCTTCAGATGCTATACGGTGTGTATACGGTGCAGCTGCAGATAAAAATCTGAATGTTTCAATTGATCTAATGCTCACGACGTAATGTCTTTAAAATCCTGATATGGAATCGCTACGCCAAGCTAATGTGATCTCTATACAGCAGGTGCTCTTGTGCAATAAAAATCCTGAGGGCTTTAAGAATGATACAGAGGATCTATTGCATTCAGTGGTAGAGGCCAACTGCCACCTGTTACGAACTGGTGAGTGTAAATTTTAACGCATCTGGTCATCCCGTGAACTTCCGAGAGTGTTGCTGGTAGATACTCCTGTTGGAATTAAGCGAATCAAACGGGTATGATTCTGTCCAGAGAACTATTATGTCTCCGCGTTCTGCAACAAACAGACGAACACGACCGCCACATCAAATTGTACAAAAGGATATTTCATCGTAAAAGTCGATTCATCTTGTAGGCCGGTACACCATTCCTGTGTCCGATAATGTGTACAAGCGGGCGATGATCCTTGCTTATAAGCCGGCAATGATCAGTGAACTGCCAGTTATGGGTACAGAGACGGCAAAACATTCGTATATGGTTCCAGATTGCAGACGCAGCGATAATAATGGCAAGTTATTCTTTTGGTGTGAGGTCTAATTCAAAATGTCATTGGCTTTTAGGAATATGTCCTTAAATCCCATTAACTATTGTCTTTCAGCAATAGTCGGCACAGCAGAGACTGGATTTCATCCATGCACGAAATGATCATATTTTTATAGCTAAGTAAACAATTTCAGGTGTTGCACATCTACCTTTTCCAGATTCACGCGAAATGCACAGCTAATCATCGATCTTAGCAAAACCAGTTCACACCGGTCGAGCTTGTAGCAGCGTGTTTACAATTTTTTTTATTAACTTCTACTTTAATGAAGCCAACTTATTAGAGGAAATGCCTTTGTAAAGCCCCATGAATAGTCGCGGTTATCGGCAGCTAATAGTGACGTTGTTAAAGCGTCGTTGTGCGAATGGAAATGTCCGCGCAGATACTACTGTTACTCCTAATTATTTTTTAACAATGATTTAAGTTAATCGAAACTCGAAGAGGTCTAATTTTTACATTGTGGTTTTAAAGCGATTCTGCTTGAGGAGGTAAATTACCTAAGATCAGAATAGTATATTTCATCTTACGAAACCACATATTGCTCGTAAGAGAAAAAAAAAAACCGCGAACACGAGGAATGGACAAAGGACACGGCGTATTTACCTCTCAGAAATCTCGCTCAATATTTTTATTTTGGGTATAAAAATTAGAAAGTCTGGTTGTAGAAATGTATCCTGTTATTCAGAAACCAATCAGAATAATCGTGACTAAACTTTTGTTCGAAAATGCCCAAGGGCTGAGTAAAACACTATAGCGTATGAAAACCGCTTTATAAAGCTCTATGCAAGCTCAACAGCTATCAAAGACACAGAAGCGTTTCCAGTTGCATCAATCAGCAGCGGCTCAAGCCCCATCAAAAGGCCGCTGGCCTGGAATAAAAATAAATGCTTCCGCTTTGTGTTTGTCGCTTTTTCCCATTTATTTATCCACTAACAATTCGATGCAGTGTTAAAATGCACTTTGCTACTCAACAAAATACGCATACTGATGTACTTACCAAATCATTTCCAAGATATACAAAAGTGAATTTTCTGTTGACATAGAGGCCCCTCCCTCTGTTTCCTAAACTCACTTGAATAAAACCTGAGACAAAAAGTATTGTACCAATCACCAAAGTTCTCAGAGACATCATATATGACCCGCTTCGTCAAAATTACCTCCATGCGAGAATTTCCGAACAATGTTGCGCAATACTTAGTCACTCAAAGCACGCTGAATAAACAAAGTTTTATTCAAAGCATGTTAGACTATGATACACTCAAGCGTAGGTCTGCGTATTATCGGACCTATACTATTTCATCACAAAAGCAGAACATTTTCTTCTCCTCCTCGTCTGTCCGCTAGCAAATACACTGTGATTTTAATCATTAAAATGGGCTCTCAACCTCTAACAACTGCATAGATTTACGTGCTGATGTTGTGCTGTCCTAAATCAACTTTATTAAGATAGGCTACGTTTCGTACAATGTTGTGTACTGCATTTACGAATAACAGAATTAAGCAAATATATTAACGAGGCTGCACTCAAAAGTATCGACGTTTGACTCGTAAGGGTAATACGGATGTAACGCCTAGCGGACCAAAATCCTTGTGAGGGTGTTTGCTTGCTAATATCAATCTAAAATCAATATCAGGTATGTATGCTCTCTCACAACTTCGATCCCTTCTGAGTACCTTTATAGCTTATCGTGCGTATCCCTTGAATGCAGGATTGCTTTCCATAGAGACGGACCATCCACGAGAGGTTTAAGGGTTTACCTCAGATTTATAACCACTCCTAATTTCTAAGTTTCTAAAATGAACAATACAAACTATTAAGTACCCTCTAATTAGATGGTGTCGGAAGATGCTGGGTATCAAACTAATTAATAGCATAGGATCGTCGGCTTCAATTCCTTACGAACATGAGATTTTTTGATGCGCTCGTAAACGTAAACTTATCAATAAACTTACTATAGTAAGTTTAATCGATGCTGAATTCACAATTGAAGGAATAAAAACTGTCTCGGTAGAGATAAAGGACAGTTTTAATTAGGCTGACGTGTGCCCTAATTAAGCTTTTGTTTTTAACTTGAAGCCAGTGCATATTAAATGGCTACTACGAAGTTTTTCCAATGGTACATTTGTGGCCAATATTAGCGCCCGTAACGACATAAGTACAACCGAGTACAGTGTAAGTGTCCTTTAACATATTGATGCGGACTGCAACCTGTGGAGATAATATTGTGGTAGCAATTATTTTTACAAATCACAAACTTTGTTTTGAAGTTTCGATTTTTATTTCCTCACTGAGTTGACAATATCGTCCAGCGAAATCACCGGGAATTATATAATTTACAATTCCATATTTGCCGATGATATCCTCTTTAATCATTTTCTTCACAATGTATTGTTTTTTTTTTTGTAGAATAGTAATGCCTACTTGCCTCCCGCAAAAGATGTGACCATAGTTGACCTACCCTTGTCATGAAAACTTTTCCCCATTTATTTCATCTTTCTTGAGAATTCGTGCTAAATATATACAAAAATGGGTTCCGGCCCCGAAGCATGTATCGCACGTATTTGAATGAACAACATCAGGCAAGAGATGAGGGTTCGGGCAAGAAAATACACGAGGTAGAGACAGATACAGAGTGATCACGCAGAAACAGAGAGAAAGACCGTAAGTAGTGCCGCATGATTCTCCTGGCGACTCACGCATGACTCCAATCGCCTGCGTAGTGCACTAGTAGCAAACATTATTTCGAATTACCAATTGTGTTTTTGTGCTGTTCCCATTTGGGGTGGGTTTTGCGTCTCCGATCTCATCATCTCAACGTAGCTTTCATCAATATTGCTGCAGGTAATCTCAACTTTAATTATTGAGCGATTCGATGCTCTTGCTTAACAAAAACGGTTAGTGCCTGCACCTTCAGTAATATGCATTCTAGTTTGCCACTTCGTTGTTTCAGGTAATCGAGAATTAAGGTGCAAACGTAAACGTCTTCAGCCTGCCTGTCAAATCGCCTAAATTTTTAAAACCGCCGACCTTTTACAATGTCTACAAGGGGCTCAACAATAATTTCTAATGATATAGTGCATCAACATGGTCGCAAGGACACTTTGAGAAATAAAAGCGAAAAGCATTTAAATTGGTATTAGTAATGAGTATTCACAAGAGGACTGTGTGACACGCATTGTGTAGTCAAGAATGTTTTAGCAGTCTCAGCCGAAATACATTTACTAAATTAGGAACCTAATTTGAAGAGTCCCTTAGACGGAGCGTATTGCAAGAGAATTGTTTCTCTTGTGTGCAGTAAACATGGCACGCAATGCACAAGAACTCAGTTAACTGTGCCAAATACGCATCGTATTGTTTGAAATATAATTTTCTATATTTGGGCAATATTTTGTTTGCTGCATGTAAGTATGATGAAGCTCAAATAACATTCTTATAGGAAAAAGGGCAAGTTGCAAAATAGTATGCAATCGCACTCATGCAAACAATCAGTAGTAGGAAGCGTCAGAGTTACAACGTTGTGACGCTCAATTTACTCGAAACTACTAGTCAACTAGTGATTTTTGTTGAGCTTATATCGAAATCTGTAAAAAAAAACTCCGTCTCACGACGACCGACCGTTCCGGCCAATTGAATCATTCGACTCACGCAGATCTTATTTGTATCTCTGCTCTCTCTTTCTCAGTCTCTGCATTTGTATCTTCGCTCCGCTCCTTCTCGCGATCCTTAAAGGTCTCACAGATGAAAAGAGTTCTTTGGAAGCTGCATTCCAATTATTACTTTCCCAAACAGTAGTTGCTTCATATGAATATATAGCTACTTCTATCGATCATAACCTGAATCTATTCTCAATATCTCTCAATAGAAACAAATCCGCCAGTAATTACCACAAAAACACTTAAATTAAATTGTTAGTTCTTATCTTTTAAATTACTAAACTTGGTCACCTTCACACTTATCCCGCTCATCTGGTACACTAATATACATACACAGTCTGGCATGTTCTGCTATCATTCGTATCCTCTTCTTCGACTTTAGGCATGCTTCACTCCGTTCTTATCACTATATATAATTATATAGTCAGTTGTTGGTTTACTGCTGCTATTTATATTTCTATATAATATGTACAATTGGGAGGCAGGGCTTATATAGAGAATATGTACACAGGTAAGGGGAGATGTCACCACCGAGCGTCAAGCAGTGCGGCACCACTAGCGACGGTATTCATCAAAAAGTTAGCTACACATCTAGATGCCGGACAATTGGTGCTGAGTGGAAAGGTTCGCTCCACATTCGTCGGAGGTCACCCTGAAACAAAAACCAGGTCGTAATACATTGTTGCCTTCATGGAAATTGTATACAGCGTTCTCAGAATCTTCAAGCTCTACCGATCTACTAACACACAATGAACAATGGTTAATTACAACCCTCAGATAACAAACTCAAAGAAAAATTTACTGTTTGTTCAAACGGTATCAAATCTAACCTTTTCGTTCTATTATTGCGTATCTTAAATTGTTTTACACCGTTACATATGCGTCATTAGGTCATACATGTATGTGACTTAACAAAGCTAAATCTAAATTATTAAAGACTTAGTAATTTCCCAATAGAAATAAAGTTAGGTGACCTGCACCGTACATACGTACCTTAAGGTATGCCATTAGAAGCAGAGGCAGTAGCGTAAACGGCACGAGATATAGAAGCGCGGGCTGTGCTGCTTTAAATACCTCGGAACTAACGGTCGCTGTTAGTAGGCCAAGGAAATAACCGATTAATGAGCAATGGAAATACGAAATGCGATACAGGGATAGTGGCAAGGGAGGAGGTGGCAAAGTCCCTGGCAGTGACCCGGGCGGTAATGTTCCCGTTTCGATTGAGCTTAACAACTGTGCCTTCTTATACGCATCGTAACGTAACACGAAACATAACAACAGACCTGCAACGTATTATCATCGAGAAGACATTCAAGTATTGACAAAAAAGAAGTCATTTCATCATCGCATACATTCATTTTTATATGTTACAATGTCTATATGCTGCTTTTCAAGCTAGGCGGTATATATAATGGGTAAACCTGCAACTATCAATGTTACTCCCTGTAGTTTACTACGTATTCCTATTTATGGATTAATCAACTAACCCCGCTACCACCAATATATTATAATAGATCAAGCTTAGTACAGTTAAAAACATATACAAAAACTCAGCCATCCCCTTTATAGTGCAATCTTTCTTCTTTGCATTTTATGATGTTCTGTTTTCACATTATAATTAAATGAGCAAACAATTCGTTTACTGAGCGTGTGTTTTACCTCAAGAAGTTTTGAAACCTGGTGCATTGCAGTATTCTTTACTTAGCAAGGCCAGTTCAATTTAAATGTTTGCAAATATGACTCTGTACAGGACTCACCGGGCATGACAATATCTCCAAGACCAAGCATAGAAAAGTGTCCTTGTTGGTGCACTGATGGAAATACAAGCTTTCCTGGCAAGGATAGTTTGGGTCCTTCATTTTGTGCAGTAATGTGCAGCTTCCGAGATATTGCGCCTACGGGATTGTCTGCAGGGCGGGTTGCCACTTTCACCATTACATTAGCGTTGAATATATATGACGAGAAAAACACCCAGAATACGTCGTAAATTAGTAGACCTGTAACGACAATAGATTTAATTTAAGATCATTAATCAATCGGTTTTAAACTATCAGGTTTGAATTACAAACATATATATTGGTCGTGCTTACTGACTACACTACTATATCTTGTTACGACACGAAGCCATAATACATTTAATCGTGGGTATTGCTATGTAAGGACGAGGTGTATACTGCACTGAAGCTGGTACTAATGAGTTGACTACAATTAGTGGCAGCGACAACGCCTGCGTCCGACCAAACCTGTGGCACGAGAGGCGGAGGCTGGCCAGCGTCGGGAGCACATCAGCCACCAGTCGAATTACCGCAAAAAATAAGTTGACTAGGACCCGAATTGCCGCGGGAATAAGCATCCGGGGAAGCCGTCCTGTGTACTGCGAGGATAGATGGATGTGCGAAGGTGCCGGGATCAATGCAGGACTGAGGCGACACGCAGCAGCCAGAGAAAGAACACACTGAAGGTTGTTGCAGGGTGTGTAACCATTCGCCACAAGAAAGAGCGCAACCGGCATGCAAATGCTATGTGGGCGCAGCGTGGTTCGTAGAAATGATAACACGTGAGTGACCTAGCTGGACTTTAGCCGCGACAGCAGCTAGGGCGTAAGGCGAAGTAAGGTGGGATTAAGTCGAAACAGATTTGTGATATGATGATGGACTGTGATACGTCACACAAAAAATATCTCGCATCGCATCTAAATTTCAGCCCCCCGCCTTCGGGGGGGGGGTACGCCTGTTACATCGGGCCTAATGCTTCTGCAAAACTGTCGATTACTTTTAGAAGCCTCATTTCTATTCAGGTTCTAGGAATCTAGTTCAGACACGATTCTGAAAGTAGAGCATTGCGTGCACTGGTCAACGGCAGTAGGTGCACGAGCAGAGAGATCCATGCACATAATCCTTGTGATATTAGCCATAGAAAATTGTCCCTACTTAAGATCCGTCCTAATAGTGAAAACCAAGCCTATAAAATACCCAAGTCACAAAATTTCGTATTACAAGGATAACCACCATAAAGCAACCTGTCGAACATTGTCGTTTACAGAAGACCAGACAAGGCCTTTTTTACGACTTAAGACCCATCGCTACAAAAACCGAAAAATATTCCGCGATAGAGCAAATAAGGACAGATTATTGCTAGGTTATTTATGAAAAAAACATTAAGAGTAAAGTTCGATTTTGCGAAAATACAGCGAACGAAACGTAGGATTCCATATGAGATAGGTAAAACCAGCAGATTGGACAACGAATTCCGGACGAGCTAACGGCTATTAGAATACGTTTATTTTACACGACAAGGCCACTGTGCGAAGTCGCCGAGTTTTTGTTTTTCAGGATCAAAGTCTTCTTGCAGTGGATCAAATGCAGTAGAGACTCGTTTCACATAAAACTGTTTCGAACCAATTCTGTGTCGAAAGACATTTTTACCTCACTTTTAGTCATAGAATTTCACAACCTTTCCAAAACGTATTCTGTTGTGCTGTAACTGCGTTAAAAAAGAAAAGATAGCTATGTACTTACTCTATTATACCTTATTATTGTATTATAATTGTACCCAGGATTGCGGTACTTGAATGGAAATGAAACTGTCCACAAGTGACAATTGTTGAAAGTTAACAGCACGTTACGATGTATTGAGCGATTCAAATAGGAATATTCAATGTGATAGTTGATGGATACACGTTATACATACTTCGAGCAATGAAGCATAGCCGTAATGAGTTTGTGAGGTTTAAAAGCCTACTTACCTGTAAGTAGTAACGTAGAAACTTTAAGCGACGGCAATCGTACAAACGCAATAAAAGCAACGCAGAGTCCCATACCCATTGCGTCCATTAAAAGCCAATGCCCTGTTAGCACCCACACACAGACGATAGCTAGCGATAACGCAAACGAAGCAAGTTCTGCTGCCGTGAACCGCCCACAGACGCCGAAAGAAATTCTGCTCCAATTGGCATAAATTAAAGAAAAACACAATTAGTTGGTAAAATAATGTGCTTTCCTACCTTTCTTCCACCCACAGGTAGCGACTGGACGATGACATAATTATACGGCGTACATTTTTTCAATACGCAAATTGAACTGAGACAACGACTGAGGTTCAATGATACAATTTATTGTTTTATTATTTTCGCCACTCTATATATCATTATCATTACTCGAATATTAACAAATCTAGTAAGTTAATAAATAATCACTAAATTGTGAAAACTTATTTGATTATTTATTACTCTACTCAAGTTTAATCTACTTCATTATTACATAATTTTAACTAACAAAATGGTCTATAATCAAAGCATGGTAAATCTTTGACGAACTTTTGTCCGTTGGAACACGGCCGCATGATATACTGGCACATGGGCAAAAGCAGAAAAGCGAGGGCCACAGTTGCTACAACTGCGGTAGCCACCGCAAACAGCATTTGCATCGAATCAAAGAAAAAAAACATCACGAGCAGAGAAACAGATGCCCCAAGAGGAAGGCACAACGCCTGCATTGTGTCCAACGTCTGCACATCTGAAACACACATACCGGATAAGTACGCATTAGATATATATACATAGCGAAATTAGGGTATGTGCACTAACTGTTTCGTCCGCCAGAATTACAGCCAAGAGGCGGAAGGGTGATTAAACTGCCCTCCAAAAACCTCAGTCGACCGTTTTATCGACCTGTTAATCTGACTTGGACATAATTCGAGTACAAGTAGTATCCTTCAACAGCGCACGGGCCTCGCGTCATAATTTCCTTTCTAGACTTGTGAAAACGCTTCATGCCGAAAACCAGCTTTGAAAAGTTTATGGGCTTGGACTAGGCAAAATTTATATTAAAAACCATGCCAAAAACGTGCCACACAGCGAACATTATTATGATCGGCAATCACATCCTAAATTGACATGATGGTAACTTTACCAATATCATCAATAGTATAATATGATTAATAGTTTAATGCGCGTTATATTCGTATAGCAATTGTAGATTATATTGAAGTAACTGTAGGTACTATAGAAATGTAGAGATATTACTTTTGCCTACTAAATGATGACACTTCCTCTGGGATGAAACTCGCGGCTGCCCCGGAATTACTATATGAAATATGTTGCACACACTCGAAACGCAGCTCCAGCAGAAAAGCCAAAGCCTTGTAAGCATGCTGCACATTCAAATCAAATATAACTTTTAATTGTTGTAAACCTGCTCGATTTCTTAAAATATTTTTTTAAGGTACTTTGAAGGCTCATACGCATCCCCCCAATCGCATTTTAGTGTATCTGGTCCCTAAAGTAAATCTATGATGGTCTTTTAGAATGGGTAATAGATAGAGAAAGTTAACGGTGTCCTGTTAAGCACAAAAGGATAATGCGTGAGGCTTGCGCCTATTTTAACATTGCTAACTCTTTAATGACGCTATAGCGTTCGTATTGCTTAGAAACGGTAACGAGTCGCTAAAAAGTACTAAACTATGATCATAATTATAACACGATCCCAAAGAATGGCTTTATGAGCTTAGCCCTGCGGGATTCGTTTGTCATTTTTTTAAATTTAAATAGGATATATATATGTAACGAAGAATGTAAACAATGCAAATAAATCCTGTGATAAAATACTGAAATGCCTCCAACTAACTGTTTGTGTCTTGAGGACTTTTTTCGCCATCTCGAAGTAACGTACTTCGTGCTTCCTTTTCTTTTAACTTGGCTTCCTGTTCCATATTGAGTGACCTGCAAAGAACAAACAGGAGCTGTTAAAATCTCATAGGGCCAAATAATACAAGCAGCGTCATTTTTGTTATAACTCGGAGCGAATGTAATGAACGCAAGCAATTTAGTTATCTCTAAATTCATGAGATACAGTTTTCGGCAAGTTCTTAACAGCCACAAAACGTAAAAAAATGTAATGTAAGTACTAGCTTTTATACATTCGAATCGCGTGCTTTTTAGTATGCTGTTTGCGGATTTTATTAGGTAGAAAAAAAAGCGCGGCCGATCTACATTTGAACGCATCCATTGGTTTTCCATACAATTAATTAAATAAAATGAATCTATTCAGTGTGTATTACACTAATTTACTATCTTGCTTTAACAATATTTTCAGTAAACTGAAACAATTTTTTCAGCGGCCGAATTCACTTTTGAAAATCTACTATATATATATATATATATTATTAAACTTATGATAACATGGCATATACATAGTATAGTCGACGCAAGAAATCGGGTCTGTAGTCATCAAAATATCTGTCCCTCTTTCAGGCGTACTGTAGATGCCTAGTCTAGCTAATTGAATACTTTCTAGCTCTCCATAAAAGTGTTTTTGTTCTATCTAAATCGATGTTCAAACGCAGATAATAATAGAGGAGGAGGCAAACAAATGACGCTTTAATAATTAGTAAGTAGAACTCACCTGAAGCTGCCATATACTATTAATAAGATGGAAATTAGGAACGTTGATACCCGACTTGAGTCCACTAGCGAGTACGCCCTGAAATGGAATGCATACCTTGTAGTATTATATCTCAGTAAATAATTCTGTCTCTAGTAAGGCCGTACCGGTTTCTGGTTAAAGAGATTATCTTAAACTTCCCATATTGATAACTGTAGAATAAAAAAGGCTCACATATGTAGTAAATGGAAACGTATACAGTTTACATTTTTTCACCATATAATTTTCTCAGCTTGAAACGAGCCCATAAGACCTTAACTGCATTCTCTTCTTACAGCTATCCACCTCACATCGAGCCAAGCGTCACAACTCCTTCATATAGTACAAGTTGCCGTTTTTGTGTCGTATTCTATATTAATAAATAGGATCATTTTCTTTATTAGCTCGAACTACGGTAGCGACTGTAGAGCAACGGCTTTTATCAGCCGAAAAAGGTTTGCATTGATGGCAGCGATGGAGTGTAAGGTTATATGACCGTTTAAGGAAGGAACTAGATGGGGTCGTCAGGGCCTATCTTTAGCGAGCTAAGGCAAAAAACGTAAGTTACAGGTAAGTGTTCGGCAGGAAATGTGATCGAGCAAAAGACCAGATGATTGAATCCAGGGTGCGAACACATCTACGAACTATTGCAGGAATTTGATTCTCTATGGAGTTGGAAGAGGCGTACATGTAGAACTCTAGCTGAAACTACATGGGTGTTTTTCTCCAGAGAGGCTTACATTCCTGGAACTCTTTTTCAGTTCCGAGAGATATAACAGCAACATTTACGAATAGTTCGTAACCGGAAAAGCGGCCACTATGAGATACGGTGGAAATAAAAATAAAGCTTGGGATGTTTTGAAAAATGTGAAAAGGATGGAGAGGTCTGTCTCTTCCATGAGCCTTGTCATGGCGGTACAAATGGTATCATTGTAATTGCTGGTCATTGTTCGGACTTATATGTTAGAAAAGAGTCAACTCTCGTGGACAAGTGTGATCTATCAGTGCAAGGAAAGAAAGCACTGTACCTACCACCGACTGAAATACAAATTCTTTTGAGTTTGTAAGTTGGATGGCTACGTGGTCTGATCCAATGAATTTAAGCAACGCAAGAACGACGTGTGCACGGTATTAAGTAATTTTACTAAGTAAAATATTTTACGCAGGGGATAGAATATAAGCACAGTACAAATCGTTGTAGGCTATCGTTTTTTTGTTGGCTAAAAACAAAATCAACCTGGTCCTCTCCAGTATTTAAGTATGCATATCTGGTATGTCTCGAAATCGGCTTTCAAATGTTTGTGTACGCTTGTATTGGTAAGAACCCATAATACTGCAGATGACTTTTGCGGAAAAAATGACACATTTTAGAATATGTTTCCAATACGTTTCTGAAGTTCCTTCGGAACAAACCTATTCGACACTTGGCTCTAGTATTAACCTTTTTCATCTTACTAATGTTTTCAGAGCTCAAATCAACTCTATCATTAATATCAATGTTATAATATCAGTAATCAACATTATAAAATCTCAAACGGAATCGCACGAAATCCAGTGGACAAATTCCCTTCTTCCCGAATCGGTGTCCACATAGTGTTCCTAGGATCAACGTGAAGCGCTGTATTGGTATTCCTTTCTAATGACTCAAGGCGAATAAGCTGGACTCTAGGCCTTTTCATAACTGGTTTATTATTCAACATTTTTTTTGTTGCATCATCTGTGTTTTCCAGCAAGTTCATATTCTTAAATCCCTTGTCCATCGTAGTCAGTTTGTTCTGCTCCAATTTCGATCTTATTATCGAATTAATTCGATCTTGCCTTTTACCTTTTTTCCTACAGAGATACATAACAGGGAGCGTATGTCCCTTTTCAAAACAAACTGGCCTCTGGTTTCGCAAGCAAATATTTCCAGTTAGCTGTGCAAGTTACCATGTTGTGGTCAGTCCACAATGGAAGTTTTGTACGAGTCCAATATACATTTAGTACTAGTATATGTAACTATATACTGTTCATCTATATATTAAGAGGCTGGTAGAGTTTTCACCGTTCTTTTAATATTCTCTATAAAAACAGAGCCTAATCTGGTTGCGTAAATTGTTAAAATATTTGCTTTTGCTGTGCTGTGCCGGTGTGTCAGCTCGATAGTAATTTGGTCACTGGCCTTGACTAGAACGTTGGCCTATGTCAGATGAACGGTTCAAGCTGTTGTTGTGAGCGACTCCATTAAATCGGACTCCTTGGAGCAACTGTCGCAAGCCTTTTAAATTGTCAGCGCTACCTTTCTTGGACAGATTGCCGCACTTTAAAGGAATCCCGGCTAGACACCTTCACATATTGCAATTCAGGAAGTTCATGTTTTACAGAATTCCTACGCACCTTCTTGTGTCAGTAATTCCGAAGACAATTCAAGCGGCCTATGTTGGTTTTTGCCAATGATTCACGGATTAATGCCGGAATTTCCGAAGTACTCCGGAGTTCAAGGTTGGATTATTCTCTCCCTATATTACGTTTTCTCTAATAGCTTAAAAGATGTGCAGACAAGCTTTATGCAGACCCAAAAATATTACGGGTTCGTTTGAATTTTCAACCTGCGGTTAGCACCTTAATCGACGACCAACGAAAGCTCGCTGTCTGAGCTGCTCTTATCGCGGTGGAGAAAATCACGTTCTAACGAAAATTCTCGGTTGGCATCCATTAATTTCGCAGTCGTACAACGCCGACCCAACGGTGAGCTGGAACCTCGGTCGCGGTAATGTGACAGCCAAACATTATTTTTAGCAGCACTGTTCCCGAAACTACCGGCAGCTGATTCTCGAAACCACTGCGTCATTTGTCACTAACGTGTTGTTTCTCTCCGGCCGGTACTCCTGGACTCAGCATGATTCTTCACAGGTTAACTCAGCATGTAAATTATTCCGTGTTGCTGTAATAAAATTAGCCAAACGGATCGGCCTGGTCGTCCGATGTATATTCGCCAGAAACGCGTGGCATACATGAAGTTCATAAATGTTTCTTTCTGCGTTTTAACGAGATTGAAGAACTCTGGAGACTCGAGCTTTTTTCTGGGAAGCAATTCGCCAGCATTCACTGTTAGGTATTGGTCTATCCCGCCTCGCGATTGTTACCACTCCAGCCTAATCTCTTTTAAGTACTTCTTAACTCTCTACACTATCTGGTGCTCAGGCTATTGTTCTTGCGCCATCCAATGCTCCATGTTCTCGTTGCGCTTTTTCGATTAGCTACCGCCAAATGCGAGGCTCTCTGCTCCGTTCGTCCCACACTAGACGGATTCCAAGCCGCGTATAGTTTTGTCCATCCAACAGAGCTACCAGCATGTTACAACGTGCCAATCGTAGCTTCCATAAATAGTCGGGCAAGATTGGCCCTGTCGAGCCATAAGGTACGTCCTAAACACATAAAGGGCTTTTATTGTAATGTTAAATACTAAATCATTCAGCTCCTATACATTTATCATTATATTGAAGGTTTTTGTCTCAAATTTCACCGTCATCAGTAGGCCCCTAGCGCCGCTTAGCTGTGCATATGGAAGTATGTGTCATGACTGAAAGAAGCTATTTATTAACGCAGTTTTATGAGAAGACTGTGTGCGCTTTTAACGTGCACCTCTTTCGTGAGCAGATCCATATGCATGTTCAGATTTGAACACACTGTGGTCAACATGCTCGAAATCAAACTCATCTTGTATTAGGAAGTTTCGTATATTGATCTTGACTTCAACAATGTTTCTGGCTCAGGACGACTTTTTCTGAAACTGGTTAAATCAGTGATTAAGAAGTTCAACTAATATTCGTGGTGCCATACCGTAGCAAAAATTTGAAGGGTTCTAGATTTACAAGAAGTGGAGAAAGTTAGAAAGTGAGTTCTTCGATTGTACATGACAAGCAAAAGCCACATAAGTTAATTTGTTTTTCACACAGCTCCGGCATATCTAAAGCAAAATGTAATGCATCGAAGAAGCCCATTATACTGTATGAAAAGCAAATCATCCTCTTAGCAAAAATATTTTGTCATTTAGCAGGACATCGCTTAGATAATCCAAGATACCATTTCACAGCGGAGGCAGTGCGGATCCTTGACGCGTTCATTCTATTCGTTTGATCTCGCACGCTCCAACTACCATACCTTCCTGAAACCGAGTAAGACCATGTTTGTTGAATGAACTTAGCTTAATAAGTAACGCATCGAAACTTTACAGTGATACCTATACCATATGCTGTAGTAATTTTCGTAGTAGGCAGTGATTTTCGTACAGGGATTCCGATCCCATAACCAAATGTTTCGACCACTATTACAAGCCGCTCAAGTAGCACTGCGCTACTTAGAATTCTCTTTAAAATCTTATGGTGGATATCCCTTCCTTTGTGTCAGTGGCGCAATATTAGCTACTAGCAATCCACCATCTGTTGTTTTTTAGAAAAAAAAAAATATTTTATTAGGCTGATCGTTTGGCGTAAAGTATTAGTTGTTTTGGTGTTCTTACTGCGTGTGACAACCAGATGTGTGACGAGAGTTAACTAAAAATCGACATGCTTCTTCGTTCGGTTAGGGATTTCAGCTAGAGGTTGCTTGGTTGTACGGCCGACGACAATTGCAGCGCTCCACTATAACACCGAACTAGTCATTTCACATTGTCCTATCAAAAATGAATAGAGTGAAAGAAGTCGCCTGCGGAGCTCAACTACTCACAGTGACAAAGTTGCAAAAATAACTCTCAGTCCTTTCACTGAATGAGCAAATAATAATATATATTCATTATTATCGTGTCATTTCATTAGAAATTCACTTTTTAATGTTATCTTCTACATAGGCATTTGCTAATCATGTAAACAAAGGCAGGATCATTGTAGCTGCATTACAAGAAGACCGGTTTCTCAGCTGTGTCAAAGGATAACAAGGCTCAGAATTACTGCGTCTATAAAGACTCTTCGACATCGTATTGAAATGAGTGACGATAGCTGTCGTAAACCAACCGAGAAGTTTCGTTAAACTATGCACAGAAGTATATGCGTTAAAAATGGGCTAGTCAGTTCCAAAGTTAGACAGCCGAAAACTGGGAAAAGCTTTGTTTTTCTCATTAATCGTGTTTTCAGATTTTGGCAGTAACGATCGAGACGTCTGCAAGCGTTTCGACGAAAGATTTTATAAATTTTGTGCAAGCCACAAGGTCAAACATCCGAGCATAATAATGCTGCGGGCTCTGATTTCTCTCCTAGGTACAGCTGTTCTATATCTTATCAACCGGATTTTGGAGAGTGAATATTCATTAAGGTCAGAAGGGCGCAGGACCAAAAAAGGCGCCCCAGGCTCAAAAATGCTATGTGGATGCGAGGTATGTGTCTTTTTATGACAGTCCACTATACCATACGGCGAAGTGTGTCCCTAAGGTGTTTGTCGTTAATGGCGTTGAGGTTCTGCCAAGGCTTGAAAACTGATCTGGCTTGAATACGTTTCGCATTATGTAATAGGGAAGTCAGGATCAAATAGGAGATCGCGAACATCTCACAACTTGAGAAAACAGCGCACTATATATGAATCCAGGACCCGGGCGTGATAGAAAAGATGCAAAAGCACGCTCTTAGAATGCTGCATTTCTATCTCTAGATATTTTTATGGCTAATTAACTTCATGTTCCACACTGGAAATGCATACCTGAAGGTCTAGCACTACGTAGCAGTTGAATAATTGCATGTCAGCTTTAATTTCCTAACTGCAGATGTGCGTAATATTCCGATTTTCTGTTTTGGAGGCGGGAATCACAATGTCTGGCTTCTGATTACTACATTTGAAATTTGTTGATGTGGTACCTCCCAGATCGCGCATCCAGCACTGCTTTTGGTTCACAACTATTGCTGCAATCATTTTTCTTGGGATCGTTTTGCCCAATCTGAAGGACAAAACACTCATGACTTGAAAGTTTTAAATCAAGTTCTACTGTTCACCTTTAAAATTTACCCAACACAACCTACATTTTTCGATAGTCTTCTGGAGCAGCACAGGATAATACATCTTGAGGTCAGCATACATTAATATTTTCTATTATTCTGCATCGTACGGAAGTTAATAATACCGAGCGTTTATTTCATCACCTCAGACATGTTTTTTTTTTGAATCAGTCAGATTAGGGTATTCGTAAAAAGATTTCGAACTTCCATAGTTCCGAGCGTTCGCTGAAACGTCAGCAAAAATGCTATACATCTTAATAATTCGTACAGGCGAGCTAGAATACTCTCAGTGATCTCGCAACACTTATTTGAGATTCTTGAGGAGCTTAAACATGCCCTTAGCTGGGGAATTTACGTCACTGAATACGATAAGATTCAGATATTGAGTTAATTTCTCGTTGTTGGATCTCAGCATTCGACAGATAAATATAACATAAATCTATAATGATTTCAGATTTTTCATGGTATTCTGTTGTGAAAGATTCATCTGGCCTTCGTATTAAGGAATCTTAGACTTTTATATCTCGACATATTTGGATGATATTGCAATCGTTTAAGAAAGAAGCGCGGTCTTATATAGAACTGTCTTCCTATATTAGCCTTGCTCGATGGTATTTGTAACTTCTCATTTTCCCTTTTCGATTTGCAGTCCTCCAAGCCTCTAATAAGTTGAGCGATATTATAATTTCTTCACGTAAAGTTTCTCAACGCTGGCAGAGAGGTGTGAAGGTCTCGAAGAAAAAGCATGTATCCTAAAAACTGTCATACTGTAAGACACCTGGTGAAGACTCAACGCCAGTATGCACTCGGTCTCATAAACCCATAATCATTTCCTTTGTAATCATATAATAGACAGAACCGTTATAGCTATGGTCTGGTATTCTAAGGATATTGAAGTTAGTTACTTTATGGCCCGAGTTTATAGAAGAAGGCAGAACTTGTACCTTTTCAATAAAATCATCGTAATATAGGATTAGCTACAGGATATTTGTAAGGGCCGCGTTGCTGTCTTGTACTCGTGTAATATGAGTTGCGTGCTAGATAGAATCTCCAGCATTTATGAAATTAAGAAAACGAGTTTATTAAAATTTATTTTGATTCTCATTGTCAGTTCCTTATTTTTATCTTTAAAGGCAGACCCTTTACTTCCATTGTATGTCGGTTTAGTCGGCCAGTATGGCATTTGCATGTTCTGCGTCATATGCGGAGCCAACCGGACTGACTTGGTGCTTCATGTATTTTTGAAGAACGCTCGTGCCCGCAAATGAATAGACGTAAACACAGAAGGCTTATACTGCGTTGTCTGACAGAAATGCAGTAATGACGATGAGTTCGGATCTCTATCGGTCGCACTTGCGTGCGTAGGACTCTTTTTTGGCTAGAATTAAAACACCGCTTTTTCTGCGCCTGCCAAGGATAATTCTGCCTGTTTGTCTTCTAAGGGCCAGGTTTCAGTAACGCAAGCAGTACCTATGTCTTTACTGTGAATAAAATCTATAGATATATCTACTGCAATGGATCTCGCCAACGAGTGGAAGTTTAAAGACACATTTTGTATTCGAGTATATTGCAAATAAACTGCTTACTTCTATGGGGCTTTAGTAATTATGAACGCGGATAGGCTTCTGTGACGTGATTGGAGTATAATCTGCCAGAGAACTCGTGCGTAATAATTTCACTGTCGCATATGTCTTTGTCGAACAAAATAATACGAACCTATGCCAGTCACTTAACTGTAAAATACATTATCAATGTAGTGAGAGGATTGTCTGGACTTCAATAGTATAAATAGCTGTAGATGCTTTCAGCACTTACGACTTTAATGACTCCATTTGCTAACACGGTACGAGTACTCATCCCCTTTTTGACAGCCGAAAGGCACTTAAGCTTTTAGTCGCGGTTTCGTCATCTTTGTTCGTAGTATTATCCTCTTGTGCTAACTTGTAGGCTGATGCTTTCTTGGTGTGCAGGTAATATTTAACGTTCTGCTAGTTGATTCCAACCGGTTACGAGATCGCACGAGGCTAGCAGTTCTGCCAGTTTAACCGTTTCTTGCTATGTAATTTCTAGTCTAACTTCAGAAGTACTTTTGCATAAGTATTGCTGGCCTGAGAGATTTGCAAAAAGCAGGTTTATTTCCTTTTCAAAAGACTGCCCTTGGTTCTTCAACATTTGTTTATAATTAAAAGAATGTTTAAGAACGCTTTTATTCTTGTCAGTTTTTTAGTCGTAAGTGTTGCTTGCCTGTTTATTATTACTTCTCTTATTAGCTGATTGTGTCTCTGCTGCAGTGGGTGGATCCATATCGACAGCATTACAAATAGGGCATTCAACACTGTTGGTTTTACTGTTATTGTTTAGATCTACTAAAATGAATCTAGAACAGCTATTTACAGCGTACGAAATACTTTACAGAAGTTTTCCTACTACCAGTCTTCATGATAAAAAGCTTCTATCGATCTTCGAAATAAGGACGCCTGCCATTATTTTGTAGTAGTTTATTCATAATACAATTTAGACTAACTAATTTAGAATAGCTGAACTAAAAAGAAGGACAATCCATTACTGACATCAGAACAAAATACTTGAGTAATCTCCAAGGTAAATTACCCTACCTTTCAAACTCAACGCGAAAACAAGTAAAATTTTTTTTTGCCGAAAAGCCAGCTGTATATCAACAGAACATTTTTGCGAATTTGAAAATACATTACACTTTAATACAGCAGAAATGCACGCCATATATACGAAAAAACGACTATATATAATAGTGTTGTATATGACATTTTCCACATGTTGATATGAAATACTCTTACCATCTTTATATAGCTAAAAAACGGAACTACACTTCGTAAATATCTCAGGCTTGCTGCGAATGATAGCCTTTGTATGACAAACATTTACGCAAATCTGACAATTTATTTCTTACGGAAGTCCGTAAAAGATTGGCTTTCTTATAGCTATAATAGGACCTTATAAAACTGGCTCGACAACTCCAAACAGGTATATTTCGTTATGGACTCAGGTCCAGAGTTATGGAGAAAACTAAATTACGAGAGCGAACTAATCACAGTGATATGCAAGATGCAAAAAGCTGATTAAAATTTCTTGTAAATGATAAAAAAAATTCTGGTACTTCTAACAACTATTCTTTGAACATTATCTAAGGCATTTTGGAAATGGTCTCGTACTTCTGGTTCTGGAAATTGACAAAAATAGGAAGGTTGTATAACTAATGAGTACGTGTATAAAAAAAATGAAAAGTTAATATAGATACAAGTTATCTACGGATTGAATATGCACAGGTCCATAATGTGTATAACAATTTGTATACCGCATCGGACAGTGTCTCTCGCCGGTCTAGTATTATTTTTTATCTATACAGCTATAACTAGTTTAGATTATTATTGGTAAACTATTTAAATTTTTTTTAAAATTAGAGTACCTTGGGCTAACTTTTTTTAGTATCAAGGATTTTACAATTTCTTATTGTGGAAAAGGAAGTTATAGTGTTATCGCATTTTATAGGACTGAAATTTCATATTATTTTTTTTTATAATATATCGAATTCGGAGCCATTTGTCGCGTCATTATCTTCACATTTTTTATTATTTCCAGTATATAAATGAATATTGCTTTGCGTTTCTATATTTGTATGTTTACAATAGACTGCAGATTACAATAGATAGATCACTTTTAATAAATTTACTTGTGTTCTTATATCAATATTCAGACAGTTTATTCCAATAGCGTACCGATAGTATATCTTATTATTAGCGCCCTAATTGCTACTTTAAAAAATAAGATGCGTCGTTATACATAGGGTTATTAGTTTCCTATGAGTAACTTTTAAACTGTGGTAAATGACACAAAACTGTCGAATACGCACAATGCCAAGATAATAACGCAAGCGGTAATGCCTGCTGTTGAATTTCAAATGTCTCACTTAGACAACCACTTTGGGATTTCTTCACAAGCTCAAAAGAAGACCAGCAACTTTCGGTAGTTTTTTCACACAAATTGACCGTAATTGACAATAGTGCACGTCGAGTATACTCTATTAGCTCTATGCTTGTAGAAAACAACCCCTAGACTTTCCTTTTAAAAAATCTTTCGTCTTCAATAACTTTATTGTCTTAAGTGCGCAGAAGCAGATGGCATCGTTTCGTTAGAATATGGTTGTATATAAGTGCATCTTATTTAGGTTTTAAAAACACTCTAATGACGCCCCCTCTCCAGGATCCACACCAAGTGGTTACCTTAGCTACATGAAGCGATTATTCACGAATGGCTTAGACGCTTTCATACGCTCATATGTGGCGGTTCTATTTGTTTAGTGGCCCATTCAGGCATAAAAAATGCACATCAACTGAGAAGGCAAATTTTCAATACAGAATTAAAATCATGCTCCTGTTGCCCGTGGGCATAGGGAGTAAACCCAAGACGCTGTCTGTAGGAAATGTAAATTGTTGAATTAACTGAATCTTACCAGACCGAATGATGACGCCTTCATGCAGTGCACGCCGAGTAATACCGTGCGTCATGCGCAACTCATGTAATTAGTGAAGCTTTCGGACTTCCTACGTTCTCAGCTACCGTGCGAATTTTTTGTAAGTGCTTAAGGCGTGGACCAACAGATACAGACTCAGTTGTCTTATGGCTTTCCAGTAAACGATGCAAAAAAGTAATTGAAGGTGCGGCACGTCTAGTGCACGACATCGTCGAAATCTTCAGGCTCTAAAATACGGTTTTTTTAAAAATAATGATCAATTCAAGTCAGTGACAGAACTCTTCGCTGGCTATTGTAAACGGTATTCCGTCTATACCAGGAGCAGTCATGCAGCAGAAGCGGTAAGTAACATTGATACATCAAAAGCTAATGACCCTTTGGTTATCATATGCTTCCATAATACCAGGCCGATGCCCAGTAACTGTACAGTCTGTATATCTGTATTAGGCTCTAATTAAGATTTTTAGTTATAATTTTCTTCATCAGTCAACTTCGGAAGTGTACTGGTAAAAATGCTGGATGGAAGAACCCTTGCGAATTAGCACGTTTAGTTATTAAAAAAACCGTGTAGTGTTTTCTTTTCTGACCCTCATAGGTTAGGTTTGCTTTACAGAATGGGCCAAGCTACTGATCCCGTCAGCGTGAACAGTAGAAATTCATCTCCGAGATAATGACTAACTTCGTTTGCATTTATTGTTAACTTAACGACTACAGTATTGGCATAACTTACCTATGTTAGACATATCACATGTACCACATGGATAACAACAACTGTAAGGAAACTATTATAGATGTGCATATGCGTGTAATAAACATTTCGTTGCCACGTGTTATTAACATGGTCCAAATAACAATACTCTTAGAAAAAATAGATTTGGACTCTGTTTGTACCTAGCGCATTTTTTAGATCTACCGAGATTAACAATTTAGTCGATGGGTAGTTTTGTGTTGGCTAAACGGCTAGCTAAATTATTTTTAGTGTTATAAGAAAATAACTTATATGCCAACCACGTAAAAATATCTAACAGTATAGAAATGTTGTGAGTAAGACGCTTTTCTCTCGACATGTATAAAGAAAGCTCTAAATAAAGCTGAATTTTTAGTCTAAATAAAACCTAGTTAAAGAACCTTACATGCAGTATAAATTGCACCTTCGTTTACCCCGGAAAGCTTATTCTAGAGTTCTAACACAGTCAACTACGTCTCATTAATGCGTTATGCATAGCATCGAGGGACGCTTAGTTCCGGAAAGACTTGGCCTTCGATGTCAATATCATACTTGACCCAGAAATATAATGTTGAAACTGTCACACACTCTTAAGTCAACTCCCAAATTTTTCTTTATTACACCAGAAATGGCTTCTATAGCCTCCCGTTATGAAGTAGCTACTTCGGCTTTTGCGTTCCATACTTGCTGATTGATCTGATATACTTCCGCTATACTACAAGAAGCATCTTTTTGATTTCCTTTTAAAAGTCGAGTACGTTCAAATTACAAGAAAAAGTTACCATATGAAATTTAAAATCTTAAATGTTATTTTTATTTGCGTTCTGGAAATCCTGGAAGCATTCAAGTGATTAACATTTCTGGCCCAATGTTACTGATCTTCAATAAAAACCTGTTTTCTCGAAAAACCTGCTAGGAAATACAGGTTTTTAAGTTAAAAATATAAAGATTCCGCAGTCCAAGGCAATATATTGTCAATGCTTTCGATTTTGTTTGTCTCTTACGTAAAGTCTAGCGGTACACTTTCAAACAACTCCGGTTACAAATTATTTTCCAAACAGTTTAAGTTGTTTTTATACCGAAAACATATCAGAGGAATTTCAAGAAGCACTTAGCAAAGAGTTTGACTTGACCTAGGAATAGTCCACTAAATAGAAGAAAATCGTTCACTAGAGCGTGAGTATAGGTATTTATTCTATAAGATCCCGCCTTTTAAGTTGAGTTTTCAGTTCGCTAACGCTTAATATCACAGTTTTTGAGATAGATTTCTTTGGACTTTAGTGGGGTTTATTTGAATACTTTCCAGTAATATTTTCATCTTAAGGGGAACAATATTACTGATATTTTTCTTACTAATTCATTAATATAAATGATTCATTTGACCACCGCGTAATACTGGAACAATAGATTTTGAGATCCCTACATTGAAAAGATGGCGCGAGTTCTTAATTAGGTGTTACATTTTATTATTTATAAATAAGAGCAATTCTAGAATTCGTGTGCCTATTCGTGGAAGGTCAAGATCAGAGATTTAACGGCTGTAATCCACCAAATATAAGGTCCTCGTACTTAATGGCGGCTTGCTTACAAAACGCGTTTCGAGGGCCCTGTAACTGAAAGCATTCGATCCGTAAAATGTTCTTACTCACTGATTAATGATCTTCAACAAAGAATTGCTTTCTCAAAAAACTAACTAGGAAATAAACGTTATCATTTTGTTCTTACTGTGCAGCAGACCAGAAATGTTTTTCCCCTATGTTGTTACTAATTCACTGATTACTTTGTTTTTGGCATAAAACGTACTACTTACCATTGGTACTCATTCATGGTGCAGCCGAGCAGACAGCACTCAGAGCCCCAGTAGCTCACTCAATCGAACCAGCACGTATCAATAATAATATAATTCCACGGGTACTAATCGAACCGGCAGTTCACTCCTACTCAAGCCTTAACCAGCTATTACATTGGACTAGTTAATACCGCCACACTGAATTTAATTAATTTCATTGATAAACTCTGATCATGAAGGAACACATGAGAACACTGAGAACAAATAGCGAAGTAAGAGGGTGGGCAAGCCACACTGCCTCTTCTTTGTTGTTCACGCCAGTCAGGCCATTGCATCTGACGTTTGTTGGTGTTTGCCCCTTATTCGAAGATAGCAATGTTGATGCATCCGCAGCATATTGGCTGGCAGCAGCTGCACCAGCAGGAGATCAGAAACTCCGTGTTTTGTGACTCACTAGCACGACTGTGCGCGAAGCACTCAACGGCTCTGGGCATTCACCCCGCACTCCACAGGCAACGACAGCAGGTGACGACAGGCTAGCTACAACAGACGGACCTGAACACACGACAAGTGTTTGTGGTCCCTGCGTTGCTCATCTGTATCATGCACTAATGAGCGTCTGTCTGTCTACCTCTTGTCGCCGTTATCCTGCAGGGCTCACTGTTGCGGCTCGTTCTGCCGCCCTGCTTTCCTTTCAGCCAGAGCTTCGCTCCTCTTCTCTCCGCTCAGCTGCTGCCGCCGACAATAGTAGCGACCCACCGACTGTCCGTCCGTCCGCTTTAACAGACCGCCATTTCCTCGTGCCGCCACCACAGCCGCCGTAGCAGTAGCACTAGTAGAGGTAATAGCAAAGACTTACCGATTACAAACTAGCGACCAACCAACAGAAAGCGAATCCCGGCAGCGGACAGCCGCAGCAGCAGCAGCAGATTGCTGTTTTCAAATACGAATGCTCTTCTATGAGTGCACCATCCGGCTTGCCCTCTCCCTCTGGCTGAATCGCCTTTTTCAACAAACGTTACTACAATACCCACATAAACACTTAGACTGGGGACATAACTGTAGTGTTGACATGCACAATTAGGGAAAGCAAAGCAGCCCGCGTCTCCGGCGGATCCACTGCAGGTAGGCCACCAACACATCAATCCTGCCTGAAACGTATCACAAAACGTCCCACTAACGTACCAATGTGTTGTCTTAACGTAACTGTAGATGTTTAGTGTCGCAAGAAACTAGTTATGGCGGGCTCTATCGGACTACATTTACACTGTGCCAGATCCACCAAAGCTAAAACACTGTTTACAAAATAATCTTTAAATTCTACATAAAAAAAAGCTATTCCGTGTGATAATCGGTAGGTTAACCATTCAAAGGACAAAGTACGCTTAAGAACAAAAGATTTTAAAAACTTGATTTTGAACAGAATCTACAGAACTCAAAAGCGAATAATGATCTGTTATCGGGTACTCGCGTTAAAAAAGCTTGTAGAGAAACATAATTTCATCCTGTCATATCCTGTAAGCTTCGTGACACTTTCAGTAGTTGTGTAAGAAATATAATTTTCTGCAATTAATCATATCCCCTGGCAGTAGATGGCAAGTATCGTATATTACAGTAACTTTTCTTTTTCTTTGTTGTTCCGGTACAGTTCGATTTAATTGCAAATCGTCATAAAAATACGTACTAACATATCAAAACTTGAAGAGGGGATGATTAAGCCGCCCGCTGTATACACTAAAGGCCTCCAGCTGACTCGTGTGTTTTCTCATTTTGGAATGAGCGTTCGAGTGGATATATTGGTATAATTGTAAATAAGAATATAGTTTTTATTGTAAGGAAGTACCGACCCGCTTATCCGTTTAGAAATTCGGTCAAACATTTTGATAATGTCCAAAAGAAGCTATGGGTGAAGTTATTTAAGTTATGAGCAGGATCAACGACCTAACTTTCGCCAAGGTTCGTTACTATCGTCAGAAGGGTTCACATCCATTAGGTGCATTATTCGTACTAATGTCCCTTGTACTAAGTGTCTAACATATAGGTTAAACAGCTGAGTAAATAGTTTGTATACAAACAAGATTTCAGATACTCCAATGACACTATGAAACAGTATTGCAAGAAAACGCCTGAAATTAATAAATTTATGAGCGAGGGTACCATTTTTGACATAAGATTTCATGTGTTCATCTTGATACCAAGACACCAGTTTTATTGAATTTTATGGAGCTAATCGAATTCAGCATCGAATTTCACATACCACCTGTAAGAAGTACAATATATATGCGCGTCAGACATTTTAATTGCGATTGGATCAGTTTGAAAGATAAAGCTGCATAATTTACTTTGTCTAGAGTTCGAAAAGTTTCAATTGTTACATTATTACGCTAGATGCGATATTTTATCATCCTCATGATATTTTGCATGCAATGTTGGCTAAATATTCGTTTGTAACATAACTAAGGGTTGTTTCCCTTATTGCTCACTTCCGCTTCACAAATTAACTCTTGGTTTAATTCTATATACAACTCCAAGGTGCTTTGTTTTCTCTAGAATCAGGCGGAATCCTACGGTACGTTTCTTGCTTCAATGATGGGGGCTTTGTAAGAAAAAAAAGACATCTACTCTATTTCGCTTCTTGACGATGTCAAAAAGATGTCATCACTGGATATTTGTTCCGTGCGTGGTATGAGCTCCATGCTTAAGAGGACTGTTTGAAAGCGCTTCACGAAGTTGAGTAAAGGCATTAAAGGCGTAGAATTGATGGATGCTTTTAGAAAAAAATCCGACAGACGTAGGGAAGTCATCATTTTCTGTGACAATGCTAATAAGCCGCACTTAGCAAATATTATGTCAGTCGCTTAGCAAAAGCTTGAGTGGGAGGTTCGTTTGCATTCACCGTATTAAGCTGATGGATTACCACGTTTTTACCAGCAAATAAAATTAGTTGCCGTGTATTTGAAAAAGGTGCACACGGTGAAGAGTGTCTCAAAACCTTGATGGAGAGGTTCTTCACATCATACCTGAAAATTTGTGATAAGAAAAATAAATTGGTTGAGGGATGGAAATATATCCTAAAATGTGACCGCGATGTTGCTAGAATTCGAGTGAAACTTTGTTTTTTGTTGGATTGAGAAAGGATGCTTACTAATTACAGCTTAATATAAAACTAACACGGCAGCCATAAAAGCGCACTTTATTCGTAAAATAAATTCATACTTTTTACAGTTTTATATACTTTAATTTCATGAAAAAAGAAACGAAATATAACTATTTGCGATTTTCTGTGGCACAAAATATTATTTTTTTAAACACTACACCAAATTTTAATCTGAAATTAAAACGTATACTACTCGTAATTCAATTCAGTGAACTCGGATTTCAAACAGAAAAGATTGTGCGTTTGAATTCTACGACAAAAATCGTAAAAGACTACTCGTCATAGACTACTTGACAAAATCATTGTAAAACGTTGTAACCGTCACGTATGGATAAAATTGGATCTCATCTAGCCTTTGAAGAACGTCGAGTCAAATGTTGACATAAATGTCAGCAAAGTGCTAAAACAATTACCCGATTATATTACACTTGAATCTTCAAATAATCTATGACACATGACCTTGAACATAGTGATAAAATATTTACGAGCTAACCTGGTGCTTTTGCCTACAGGGTTAGCAGAATCAATACCGCCGAAGAGTACCTCAAATAAAGCGCAAAAAGGTGGTTTCGAGCGCCATTTCGCTGAAATATTTTTCGTTGTTTAATGATGTCGTATACCGCGTTACTGATGAAATTCAGCAGAACAAGTCCTTATGCGTTGTTTCCGCTAAAATAAACGTTTTATTTCTGGCGTGCGATATGATAACGCATGATTTTTTTTACCGACGGTATTCGTCATCTTTTAATAGTAATAAAATAATCATCTATGTACTCTGTTGACGATTACTTTAGGGAGGCCTGGATTAGCCACCGAATAATGTTACGAAACATGGCCGCAATCTTATTCAAGCATGGATTTAATCAATGATATGCTTCAACAAAAGAAAAGCAACGTCCTTTTAAAAAATACGAGAAACATATTGCCTGCTAAACCTTCTGCTAGATCAGTAAAGGTATTTGAAAACATATTAGTTGGAGAAATTTGAGAAATATGTCAAATCCAGAACGAAGTACGGTTCTTATTTTTGATCGCTTACAATGTATCTCTGTAACTCTCCGTTCAACAAAGTGAATATAAAACTACGGATGAAGGCTTATAGCCATATGCAAATATTGCAAGGAGTGCGGAATAGATCAGGATGCGAAGAATTATTTTAATGATTATTTTACCGAATAATAAGTGGTTCTAGTTCCCAAGAAATGTCTGTATGGCAGACTAAGAACTCCTTTTGTATTTATTTATAATTATAAATAAATATTATAAGTTAAACCCACGGCTTTATGAAACGATACGTAATCTGGACATTTTAATGAATTTTTTAAGCATGACGTAACTCGTGGCCGTCAGAAAATCATTTGTAGGGTGACTTATATTTCTATTGTTAAAGCTTTGCTCTACTAATTTATTTTCTGAACGGTTTCTTTGAAGTATTTTAAATTAAAGTTGGTTAAAACTAAGGTTTATTGAACAATGGAAAACAAATAGGTGCTCTTGAAATCAGCTTTTTTGCTATCGAGCGCAGTAAAGTCTAGCATTGAGACTTCTACAGACGTGGGAAAGCTGACAAGAATTTTATTGGCCACATAATAAAAAATATGAAATAAATACGCAAGGCTATATATATATGATAATAAAATATACTTGATATGCATGAACTAGGCACTGCAAATCAGACAGATAACATAACGTAGAATTTTAATGCCATGGAGCAGAAAGTGGAGTGCCCGACTCACTCAGGGGCCTAGGATTCGATTTCCAGATGATAGTGACTAGCTTATATCTTGAAATTGATCTCTATAGGTCTCGGGCTTTCAAGAGATGGTGTTTCGATTATCTGTAGATGGGGTATAATGTACTTTCATCACAGATACTGCGCTGAACCTTAATTAACCGGGTGGTTAAATGGTTACGTGCCACATTCTCGTTGGTAACCTTAGAATAATCTTGATCAAAATAAATTAGTAACGGTTTTTGCAGGTTGTTGTTGGCCAGACGAAGGTAGCGATTATCATAAATTACAAGTGATTCAGTGATGTGGTGGGAAGTTAAGGATTTAGAACTTTTTGATACATATCAACTTCTATGCAGGTATTTGCTCTATTAGGGTTAATATTTTTCTTGCCTTAGAAAAAGTATCTTCTTAGACGAACTGCATTATAAGCTCTGTTCTATTAGGTTGGACTATAAATAATTACCGTCTTTTCATCTAACGAAATACGCAGCGGTTCATTTAAAATCTAGCAATAAATTAACTTATATATTCGCCGTCACTCCATACGATTTTTTCCTATCTAGCAACCAACCTAATTATTCCTTTTTGTCAGGTTTCCAGCGCCTTTTACTGTCAAATACTGTCAAATAATTTCACTTTTTAGTGATCGGAAAAGTAGTCCTCTGTAAGCGTAAGATTTAGAGGATATGATAAGTGGAAAAGGCAGTTTTCTGCGATATGTATTTTTTAAGGCTTTCGCTAATTTTTTTTTGTTTCTGTTAGTCCTAATCCTTGCCAGGATTAGTATTAGAGCTTCTAATTTGTTATTCAAATATACCAAGAGAACTTTTACAAAGTTCTTACGGCAACTCGCTTTCTTGAATTAGTTTAGGGTTACTCTACCAACGAATTCTGGTCTAGAGTAGGAAATCCTTCTATCTATTATTGGTCTAGAGTAGGAAATCCTTCTATCTATTATAAGATTTTTTATGCGCAGGCAGGTTGAAACAACTTGAAGACCGTCCTTCCAGAGGAGTGTTCTGCGAGCCATTCTTGAGTTAAAAAAAGAGTAAATAAAGTAGAATAAATAAATGAACAAAAACAATATAGCAAGTTTTTATTTTTGAAATAGCTCATTGTTGCATAATTTTTAATTTGTGAACTCTGCTTCAATTTTGTTAGATGTCGCTGAATCCTTTTAAACATCCGAGCGTGCAAGATCTTGTGAAGGACGTATATATAAAAAAAACTCTTGCGGAGAAAGCTCTGAAAGTTGTGCGAGATATTCAGGTAAAGTATTAGTCATAAGCACTACTATGTTTTTTTGTTTATTATATTCCCTCTACTGCCCTCTTGGTTCCAATAGTTCGAGTCATCTTTTCAATTTAAATTAAAATCCTCTTGTTTTTCAATAACATATCGGTAGATCAGCCTGTATAATTAATGTAAGGTTATTATTCCTACACAAATACTCAACTTAGTTAAAAATGAAGTTTTGACAATATTTACACAGCGCGACTCTGAATTTACTGGCAGCTAAAGAGGTATTCGAATGAAAAAGTCGACATGAAATGCGTTTGCTAGTAATTAACTGTAGCATTATCATTTATTTCAATGATCCGGTTAGTGTCCTGACAAAAACTAAAAAAATACGCTCTGCGCTAACAACTCTAAAAGTACTGTGAAAATCATAATTTTTGCGAATTTTCTTCGCAAATTGATTTAGCGTGTTTATATTGACTAAATTACTAGGTATTCTAATATAAACAGCCTTATGGAGTTGGTTTATAAACCGATACCCTAGAAACGCTACAGCTTTTTCCGGTCGTTTATTTGCAGTTTTTTTTATTTTAACACAAATCTGAGTACTATTTGCTTCCATTTAGTACTATATCTTTAGATCCGCGTTTCAAAAATCTGGTCAATAAGCGAGTTATCAATATTTTTCTTTACATATTGTTATCGCATCACATAACAATGGAGCAATTACGATAAGACCGGAACTTCGTAAAATTAAACATAGAAGTCTTGAGAACCGTAGATCAACATCGATGACGAATGCATATGTCATTCATTTGATCTAGTTGAGGCGGTACCACGACTCCTAATTCGTTAAATGTATGTTATGAACAAGAATTCTATCTCCGTTAGAAGTACAGAGGTACTGGCAAGCTTAGATTTTCACTTCGGAACTGTTATTAGCAGCTCGTTTTCAATATACCGTCTTATAACTTCATCGATCGTTACCTTTGTGGTCTTCGACAGTTCCCTTGTAGGTCTTCGATTTACTTTTAGGTGGTCAGCATATCTCTAAAAATTGCCAATCTGGTGCCTCGAATTACTTTCGTTTACTTCTATTTTTTTTTTTTTACTAAACTGTACTTGATTTGCAATAACCTCATTTACCCGCATGGGTTAGTGTTGCAAACAAACCATTTCATCAAAGTATAGGATTTTTGGTAGAACGCGTTTTCTGCCTTCATAAATGTGTTCCCTATTTCCGTAAATTAAGTCTACTTAGATTTATTATATTTGGACTCTTTGAACAGCTGTACCAAAACCTTTTCTGACCTATATGTCACCTAAAGTCTTGTCAATCACTGCATTACCAGATTTTCTAGAAAAATCATATGATATCCCGTAGGCGGGTAGACTAAGAGCAGTCTCCACAGAATCAGAATAGATGCGTGTAGCGTCCTGCAAAAAGCTTACTTGACGTTTAGTCAAGTTATAAGTATTCGTAATAAGTTCTCAGTCTTGCAGTTAAAAGACTGTATATCGTACAGATTAGTTGTTAAATACTTGGTTTTTTTACATTACATTTCAGATGGAAGCCGTCCAGAATTCGGAAAAGCAATTGAATCCTGGTGATGTGGCCAATCGCTTTTGTGAACTCGTGGAAGCTGTTTTTCTTCATGGGTGAGATAAAATTTGTCAGCGATAGCCACGGTTAAGACCAGTGACAAAAATGGAATATATTGTGGTTCTAGTACCTGATTTGTTCATGGCTCATAACAGATCAAGGAAACAACCTTAGTCACTAACTGAAACAAAGACAATGATTTAAAACAATTTAAGTACGTGTTCCAGTAAAGGAATAAGAAAAACAAGAAGGGTCTCGAAGCATGATGTTAAAATAAAAACCCCTCCGATGCTAAATTGATCTCCTTACCCCTTAACGCGCCCATGATCTCAACCATCGTTAGAGCTGCCAAACATAACTTTCGCGATATGCATGTTATAACAGCCGCACTAAGGTGGGTGTCGATTAAATAGTTTTAATTGAAGCCTGCATAATGACCCTTTCTTAGCTGATAACATTGATTGAAGCCTAGAAGTGCTTTAGTAAACAGTAATGTGTGTAGTTCGTACTTTTGTTTTTAACGGTGGCTATAAATCAGTGGTCAGAGCAATCGCCTGACGAACCAAAGACCCGTAAGTAAAGTTCCAGTAGTATTACACTTATTTTTCAATTTTCACATACTTATTAGCTTGTTCCGAAAGTATTACATTGCGCAAGCACGTAAGTAATGTTGCTGCTTCGTCAAATGTCCCCTTTCCTATTTGTGTCTCCACTGTTCCTCTACCTCTACCTATCATTCGAAAGTGCTTTCTTCTCCACAAGTCTGTGGGCATTTTGTTGTTTATGAAATGAAGTTCTACATCAAGGCCCCATATACGGCTATTTTTGATGAAAAACAAAGAAAATTCGACAATTACTTTGATTCACTTTTTGTCGAGGTCAAAAGTCTGCCTAAGCAGGCTGGAATATTTATTCAAGGCTCTTGTAACTAAGTTGACTGCGTGAAGGGGTTCGCTATGTTCAAATATGAGACCTTGTACCTAGAGAATGTACCTCGCTCTTATCGACCATCTGAGGTTCATGAGGGCCTTGGATAGCTAATAATTCGTTAATTGACTAACGAAGTAAGGTGCGTACATTCAACTGCTCACATATTTAAAATTTACCAAAGTGTATTAGAAATTAGGAATCAGGGCGCGCAATAATTTGAGTGAAGCATTAAAAAAAAATGCGACTTCTCACTGGTCATTAGCATGTTTGGCACTGGACAAGTACAACGACAGGTTTCAACATAAGAATTGTTGCGAGTAACGAGAAGTGATGTTTTTACATCAATGTGAAGCAGAAAATGCGCCTAAGTCCACAGTCAAATAAGACTTCTGTCTGAAAAAGATAGTGCGATTTACGTTTGATACAACCGGAAGGTCATAAACACTACGAAATGCTTAAAAAAAAAGACAGCCAACAATGATAGACATATGGACCAGTTAAGTTCTCGGCTTTTCTATTCTCTGTATCGCAAAGTTTTGTTATCGAGAGCAGACTATAGGCAGATTCGAAAAAATTCTTTGAAAAAATTTGAAAAAAAAAGAAATCTCAGTTAGGCCTAATAATCCTGATGATCGAGAAGGGCAGAAGACAGAAGTAGGTGTTTAGTTTAAGGCCGATGGTGATATCAGTTTGAATATTAAACTCAGTCAGCTGAATCGGATTTTTAATGCTAAGTGTTCTAGCAGCCGTGTCAGATTATGAATCTGGGGGAACTACCGCCAAGCAAAGCCAAGATTAAAAAGCCGCCAATACAAGCGCAATACCACATCGAGCAAGTAGGCTGCGGCCAACGGATTCTGTTCGCTCCTATGTTTGAGGACATGTGAAATATTGACAACAAAAGTGCCGGCTCCAGCGACACCTCTTATTGTCGTTTTACAGAGTGAACAGTGAGGCCAGACTTCAAGGAAAAGGTAAGGGTTGCATAGTGGAACTGCGAGAGTGCAGTAACTCTAGCGCTCTACCCCCGTAAGCCCTGGATAGTGTAGGCATTTTTGTGCTGATGGAGATCTGGGAAACCAAACTATTACCAACCACATTTCTACTCTGTGCATTACAGCGTGCTGAAGACTAACATGAGCAGATCGTTTTAGTAATGACGTCTCCGCGTTCTGCAGTCATAAACGACTTGACACCACGTTTAGTAGAAAATGGCGTTGTTACTATACATAACAAGCGAGTAAAGCTCGTAGCAGCTTACGTCGAGCCGGCGGGCCAACTCGGAATCAACGAACGCATTAGCGCAAGTGTTCGAGTTCACATACCTATGTCAGCAGACCTTATTGTCCATATTGCATTTCTACAGGGTATCAAACATTAAGCCGTGTTGCGACGCCTAGATTATAAAAAGCTTCCGTAGCGCGCCTACGAAGTTCTGTACTTCTGCACAGAATTCAGTCGAAATTTCTAGTCTACCATACAACTCCGCTGTATTCCCATGAAATTGACTAAGAGACTGAACATCTGTTTGGAAAGTGTATGTACAATCCCAACACATGGATTCCGGGGGGACGTTTCACTAAAACGGCACGCAGCGTCCTGATAGTCGACGTCTAGAGGATATTGGCTACAATCACTTTAGCCAACTCTTTCTAAAAGACCATCCTGATTAACTAAAGGGGACAAGGAAGTAAGTCGAAGCTATTCTGTATATAGATTCCGTAACATAGAATAAATTCAAAAAAGCTATCAGGATTGTAGCCACTGACACATTGCACCTCGACGACTTACTTCTCGCGTATCTACCGTTTCCCATATTTGGGGTTGTTCGTTGTCGTCGTCAATGGTGCACGTCAAGGAGAGATGCAAGAACCCAGTCTGGGCTGCATGAGCGATCAAGTCACCTCACCGTTTGTCCCTCGTAACCACTTTGAGTTTATTCAACCTTCAAATAATCTCCGATCGCAACGTATGAAATACGCGTCATTTAAGAGGCTTTCATTACGGAAAATTTAGAATGATTGCTGTCAAGTTTCCTCGTACGACCCACAATCGAGCTTGTTTATGTCCTAGTCGATTCGTTGCTGCTAACAAAAGAATTGCGTCGCTATCTCGTGTTTCTAGTAACAAACTTCATAACAGGTATAGGCGCTTCTAATACAGACAATTGTGATGAACTCATGCCGCTTGCTGCCCCTTAATACTATTTTTAAAATGACTGGCTTAAATAATAATTTCATAAAACCATCTAGACTTGTATGATCCATGTCACGCAAAATATCTTACTTGCGTGCAGCCTGATCTTGCAGTGTCGTGTTGTTAGCTTGTATATATGAATCTTTTGATTCTACCTGCAAAAAAAACTTAGTTAAATTCGGTTGTGTATGATCCCGTTACATCAAATTAACAAAGCCATCCAAGAGAAAAGACTCGATAGAGAAGACGAAATCATCCTTTTCCACGACAATGTCAGGCTACACATGGCAAAGGTCGCTAAAGGTAGCCGGAGGGAAAGTGGGATTTTTTTTGCACCCTCAATATTTCATAGGCCTCGTGGATTAACGCTTTTTCGATCACTGGCAAATGATATCCGTAACAGTATGTCTGACAGCGAAGACGGTCCAATGGCTGGACTAGTTTTTCAACATTAGACCTTAAAATTTATAGCTAGAAGAAATTGAGAAAGGAAATATATAAATTAGTTGAGAGATGGGAGAAGGTCTAGAGAGTGACAGCGAATACATAATTAGCTGATTTGTTGCTAGGGTTCAAACTGAACACCACATTCTTTCAAGTGGAACAAGCGACATCACCTTTGTTGAAACCAAATACATTTTTTATATTATTTCTGTCTTCATAATTTTCTTGGCATGCTGATGATCGCATTATAAATGGATCAAAATTTCCTCGATTATTCGTCTTTTTCGTTTTAACAAAATTATACGTGCAATTTAAGTGGATATACTCTTTTCAATGTGCGGCAATTTCGACACTTTGTAGAATAAAAGTTATATTTAAGGTAAAAAAATTGTGTTGTTTCTGCTTACTAAATTATCTATCAGTTTTGTGTTGAAATATGTTCTTTTGCCTTTTTGCTTTATAATTTAAATTGTCGCATTTTAATAAAATTTTATGCATATACTTGAAAAGCGGAACTCTATATACAAATTTTTGTAAACCTGACAAAATGATGAGACCTGAATACTTGGTGTAGTATTTAGCTATTAATAAGCTAAAAATTACAACGAGAAAGTGATACGCAGAACCATACATTATCTTCTAACTAACCTAACAACTCGAGAAAAGTATCCGCAAGAGCATAATTTTTGTTCTTTATCAAATTTACCCCTTGCCTTCCTTCTTTTAAGAGAAAAATTGTAATTCAATAAAATTATAAAATTTAAAATTAAAAAAAGCCATTACATTTTCGTGAACTTGAATTACCATTTGCCCAGTGGCAAAAAATACAGAAATTCTTCTTTCAACTAAAGCATTCCTATTTAGTTGAATTCTGCAGGATCAGTACGATGATTTGTACTTTAAGGTTAATTAGATCATTAGAATGTTTTTATATAGAGGTCAGTATAATTTTTCATTATACGTATGCACTCAACGTTAGTCTGCTAATGTAACTTATTGTTCAATTCTGCGCGTATTACCTTATTACAGACTGAAAAGTCGTTTGAGCAGAATGGCGTTGTCTGAGATGTTTGGGATCGGAAAAGGATCAGTACAAGCGCGGGGTCTTTCTTTAACAACAAATACTAACCTGCCCCGTCCGGATTTCTGGAGTCTAGTTCGCACCGTAACCCATCGTGAAGGCCTTGAAACAATAAACGCTCTTGATCAAGTGATAACTGACGTAGGGCGGAGCCGCTCGTGGGTGCGATTTGTTATCAACGATGGTACGCTGGCCTCTTGCATTGGTAAGGTGTTTTTTATTACCGCCAACAGCCTTCTGCACATATAAATCTCATGATAGGGTACAATATTTCAATTCGCTGATTTATTACTATCATATCTGTTCTATTCTTTGTATATGGGTAGATGCGACTGGGATAGATCACTTCAGTGTAATGCTGCCAGTATAATGCATTATCCGTGCATTTGAAAAGCAATAATGGATTAATCCTCAACATTCTGTCCTTTAGTACTAGAACTTTTTTACCCATTCTTTTAACTTGGCAGACGCCTGAACCCCTGAGGTGATATGATACATCGAATATTAATAATATACATTGGCATTAAGTCCGCTAGTATTAATTTATATAATTAGGGAATCTAACTCATTTTATTCGCTACATGTCTGCATACCTAGAATGCATCGCAAATGATCCAAAGGTCCTATCCTCGTTTTACCGTTCCTCTGCGCTACTTCGGGATGACGAACTTACCTCAGTTATTGTTCGTCTCTTCAGCTCGTTGTCAGACGTGCGTTTCACTCTGCCACTGAACGTCGCATCACTAAACCTTTGGCAGCCGGGTCCGCTTATACTTTGCGGATTATGGCAACGATTGGAAGATGTTGAGGTAAGAATAAGTGTAATGAACATCAAAGCTATATATATATATATATATATATGAGTTTATGTATTATATGCGTATATCTGTCGAAAACTTTTTTAATACTTAAAAGTACTTTTTAGAGCTTCAGTTAATGTCGTACACGTGTCTTGCATATCTTTATATAACACTCAAGCTTGGGAACTGATTGGGCGGCTGGATTTTCCTGAATAGACCGAAGTGACATCTGTCTCACTAAATTTTCAGAAAGCTCAAATGCTTTCCTGGTTCGTCATGATTCTATTTTTTACGTACCAGATGATGGAGCTCAATATCTGTTTTTGTAAATGTATGGTGCTTGTTATATAGATTCGCGACTGCAGTCCATCAATGCTATTGCAATTCAGTAAGAAATTCGTCTTGTGCCGTTTTTAAAGCAACGAGGTCTCGATTATAGAGCAGTGCAAACTCGTGGTCTTCGATTTAGCGATACCGAAGGCTATCGTAGGGCAATCAGTTCAAAGGCAGCCATAAATAGCTCTCCCCAGGAAAAGAAAGAAAACATGTGGAAGAGACTGAGAGTCGGGTATGAGAGAAGATTTTTAGGTCATTAGAAAAGAAATCCAACTAAAGTAGTGAATATAGTGACCTCTTCTGTTGTTCGATTTTTACCAATTATATGTATATATATATGTAAACAAATATATAGGCTGAAACAAAAGTTAGATACTCCGGGCGCTCTGTCAGGCTGTTTTTATTTTGACCTATAAAGGACGCCTGACGCTCGTTTGCGTGCCCGGTTTGCTTTCGGCCCTTCTACATTACTTCTCTACTATGTTTGCCTCAAAGTATACAATATTTTTCGCGGTGCCCTTTTTCACCTGGAAGTGAGTGGGAAGAGAAGATTCAATACATCGCGACATATCTCAGCAAAACTTTACAGTACGGGAATTAATGCAACGTTTTAGGAGTTTACGCCACAAGAAAGCCGTCAGTCTACAACGAGCATCTCAAATGCGCTAGCGTGTGGAAACGTGCTGGACGACACAATTAATAAATGTTTATATATTAGTATACTAGCTACCTTGTAAGTACTCTCTAAATGAAAAGGCGACTTAACTGCACCGTCATCATGACGAAAGAACCGAAAACAATTGTTTGCTATAAGCTTTTTTTGCTGACTAAGGGACTAAGTTACTCACCAAATGTACACGCCATCCCAAAGGAACAACACGAGTTCCAGAAAGAACGCTCACAGAAACGGCGTGCAGGATCCTTGTGTGGACAGCACTGGCCACGCCGCACAATCCAGCGTGTACGGTGGCTGTCGATTCCAACGTAGCCTTGGACCTGGCGCCCGGGAACAAGGTCATGTTCACGCTGATCGAATTGGGTGTTCCTATGAATACGTACAATTCTTTTTTGTCGTGCACTCTATAGGACACCAAACTCAACATCGACGACGAAGTAGCCAAACTTTCGCTTTTCAAACAAATATTTGGTCTGGCTCGGGGGCACAACCTGAGCTCACTCTTTTTTCGCCCTGACGAAGGGTCTCCCTGATCAAATAACAGGGCCGAGGAAGTCTTCTATGCAGATGACCTATCGGCCGAACAAATTCCAAGTGCAGCAAACTCTGGCTCTGCTCCACGCAACAGTCACAAATTTGGAACGTACCGTAAAGCCGACGAAAACGGAGGCGGCGAAGTTTAGAAATGAAGACAGGAGAGAGGGAACTGTCACTTGCACTTCGCTAGAACGTCTCTTGGCTATGTGGATTGGTTTCCGTACTTGAAGTTGCTCTGCTTCGCAAACGGCATGTTGCCACAAATTCGAACATAGTTATAAGCGTTGTACAAGAACCTGTGCAGAAGTTTAGCATCTGAGCAGAAAGGGCCTTAGTGGGTTTTTTTTCCCGCAGCGCGACCTCTTAGAACAGAGGAAATCACACACTAGAGAGTAACGTGCATCCGCTAGTTACCATTAAACGTAACTACGAATAAGTGCAATGAACTTGTAACTCAGAGCCATTGCAGTATTATATATAAAACCGTTATACACATAGAAGAATACTGGCTTTGTTGTTTTTCCATATTCAGCGAAAGTTTTCGCTGCGACAATCTTAAGCCTGTCCTTCATAATGCGTAAAAGATGACATGATAATGACTCCAAACATCAAACGAACCTTTGATTTCATGCAAAGTGCTCCAACGTTCAAGGTAAATTCTGTTGAATGTGGTAAAGATCAGTAAACAATTTCATCAATGAAACCATGGGGTAGCTTTACTCATATTACCCTTAAGAGTTAATGTTTATGCAACGCAATTTCATGTTTTCTGAAACGCATAAAATCATATAATCATTGGATTTAAAAAATGTGTGGTTGTGCGAGAAGCTTTACCTCAATTGAAAAAGAATGGGTACGTAGGAGGGTCTGCATTTTCTCTTGACCCTTGCAAATATCTAAATCTCTAAAACAAAATGAGTTGAATAATGAATAAATTTAATTCATCATCTTTGTCTTTCAAGGCTTAAAACGAAATGACTAAAACACATCCTATTATAACTAGATGTATAAAAGTTAGCTAATAAAAATCAATAAACTAAGGGGACCCGTTGCTCGATTACTGCGATCGTTTAACCTTGCAGTTTTTTTATCGGAACGAGCAAAAATATTTCTTAAAAACTTTTTTTTTTATAATTCCGAGTTCTGTTACCAAAAATCTCCCTATTGAAGTAGTCTTCATCAGCTAGGAATATCTAATACCATCAAAAGCACTTGTTACCCCTTCTTCGTCAAGCGAATGATACTACCTGCAGTAAACTCAAGCACTTCTTATAATATCACCAGATAGCCTATCTAAAAAGTGGATAAATCTTCTTGAAAAAATAGTGAGTTTTAGCTTTCCAGAACTGAAACTTGTTTCGCATTTCACGAGGCCCAGGTCGCGTTTAACTGCCGCCTAGTAAAAACAGGCGGTAGCTGTGCGTAGACATTGTAAGTTCGTAGTGGAAAAATCTTAAAACATTTCATTATAAAAGCGAAAAAATAAGCGCGATGAATTAAATCTTTTAATTTTTTTTTACTTTTTTACTGCTAGTTTTTTTTAACAAACTGACTTGGATAGAGTTCTCTAATAAAATGTCCCTGTTCTCCTCCGATGAGCATTGCTCTTCTACGCCTCCATAGGAAAAAATACGTTAATTACTGAGTTCTATTACATTTCAAGGACTGTCCTTAAGTTTTAAAAAACTTTGTATATAAGATCATTTTCCTTACAGCAGTTATCACTACATTTCTTTTAAAGTTGGGTTCTAGATACTGGTTGGCTTGGCGTTGCCGTTATTTTCTATGTGCGACAGAGGATACCTAGTATTCTTATAGACCCTCTTGAGACAACTACAAAACACTTATCGTTGGCATGCGACAACTAATAGGTGCAACTCGTACTTATCTCCAACGGCTATTGGAAACGAATATATTTAATTTTCTGTAGGTTGCACCTTAACTTTATGTAATTCCGTGTTATTGCGGATGTTAATAGGTGCCTTTTGTAATTCTCAAAGAACACAAACTATGTTTCTATTTACACATGTAGATTGAAATCTGCAGCATTCCTTTCCCATGCTGTGAGTTGACTACTATTCTGTTTCAATGTTGATTGGCGTCTTTAGTATCGGTATTCTATGTGATCAGACCGTGGAGATCGGAAAGCCAATAAGTTGCTTTACCAATTAAAGTAAAAAGTTAATAATCTTAGCTGGGAAGTTCAGGTCAAGGTATTGATAAAGGCGAAATGACAACGTTAAATAATCTTTTTTTTTAGACCGCGTACAGCTTTATATAACTAAGCCCCTTATTTTTGCATGGGATTACCCAGAATAGAAAATGATCTTGCACTTGGCTTTTACTTTAAACCCAACCTTATCGAACCGTCTATAATTAGCGCTGTTAAAATTCACGCAGCACGACGCAGAAGGTAAGCGGTCCAAGATGAAGACAGGCGTTCGAAATCAAATTGAAGAGTTGACCGCCTCCGTAAATATCTACAGCTTACACCCAGGAATATACTTGTAGCGCGAATGTACGAGAAATGCCGTGAGAAGCCAAATAAATGATTTTGTTGCAGCAGTTAGACCAAAAAGTTAAAGAACACCGTGAACTTAACTTATTCATAATCCCAATATGCGCGTGAGATGACGGCTTCAGCTTGCAAACTACATAATTGACTAATGTAGACAGCTAATTTAAAGATAATATGGAACATTATCACCAAGAAAAGGAACGCATCAATGATGTGATTTTTGGTCTCTAATGCGTAAATAGGATTAGAGTATTATTTGAAGCGTATATACAGGCAGCGCTTGAAGTTTACTCTAGAACTGCCATAAAGCCTGAGAAGATATTAATTTATTTCTGTTTTCAAGATTCGGTTATCTGAACTCCGTGCAGCTACCTCCATCTCACTAGAGAGCAGCTATGTGCAAGTATCTGCTATGAGTGACTATAAACTCCCTTTGCAATAAAATTATGCACACCACAAAGCATGCCTAAATCAAGGTTTAGGAAAAGATGAAAAATGAATAAATCTTGAGTGAGTTTAAATTTGCAATCGAAAAGAAAGATATTATATTTTTGAAGTCCGTTTCTTTGCATTTAAGAGTATCAGTCCTGTGACGTATGCGATGGATGTCGATGACTACTTTATCAGGGAAGATGAAAGATCATATGAAAATCTCGGGAAGAAGCTGCCTTTGGCTACGGATCAGGATCGTGAGCATCCTAAGGCTCGTTCTTCCGAAGAACCTTTCCAGCCACACGAGCAAAAACATTTAGCCGATTCACTTGGCCTTCCAGCCAGTATTGCGGATGAAATCGAACAAGCTCTAAAGGTTAAGCTTTTTTCGCAGACCGTTACAGAGGTATCTGGGAATCGTACAACTATATTTGTGCTTTTTTGTCTGATTTTACTGCATTTCTGTCTTTCCGTCCTCAATATCATTGAGATGAGTATAGAACTTTAGAAAAATGTTACATTGTATAATTAAATTTTGAGTAAAGATAAATGCCATATCCAATTTTTTTACAAGTGCGTGAGAAATGCAGTACTAATTAACTACTGCAATCTATTACAGTGTGATATTTACTCCATAAGTGATTTTTTATTACAAAGTTTGCCTTTCCATAAGCAGCCTTTGTTGGACACTCCAACTTTTTAGCTATTCGGTACGCATGAAGTTCATCGTAACTAATATAACAAGTATTCTGTGATTAGATAAATAAAGGTGGTGATCGAACACCAGTTGTCACAGATGCATCGACACTCAAAGCTAATCCTAAGGAAATGTCAGGAGAGTATGATAGCCTCCTAGCCAGGTCAACGGTCGGCTATACACAACCTATCGGCGATACAGGATCTGCTACTATTATGTGCGTTTATATTTTCACTACTTCGTCGGTAAAACATCGTTCCCGTATAAACCTATGACTGTCCCTTCTAAACGGGTCTTCCCTTCATCTCAAATCATAAGTATAATAAAAACGTCTAAAATAACACGAGTATGCCAGTCCACTTATTATATACTACTTTTCAAACTCATTGACCAAGGTCCGTTTTGCCTTATGGTGTAATAAAAAGTAGCTTTGGAATTTGATATACCTGCAGGAGCTGGAAAGGTGGTTTGGTCGGCGAATGCGGCGGAGGTTGGTCCTCTGTGTTTGCACCACCATCTTTAAATGACCCTACAGTCGCTGACGTGGAAAACGCTGCGAATGTTCCAGTAGAAAGTGAAAACAGTGCCGAGGAATCGAGTCTTGACTCAATCCTAAATTCGTCCGCGCGTCACATGCACCTGTCTTTGTCACTTGATACTGTCCCTGCTGGTACACCCGAATTATCCAGCTTATTGACAGAGGTGTACAATACTAAGGTAATTTAGAAAAGAAAAAGCAGTACGTAATTAACCGTCCTAAAATCTCATGTTTTTATAACATTTATATAATTTGTGCCGTGTAAGCTTTAATAGCGAAAAAGAAGTTAAGAACGAAGACAATAAATTAGTAGTATTATTATTATTAGGCATAGTACCTACTCAAGTGAGGTCAGAAATATTTTGATCAGTCTTTACGTATTGTCGGAAGGAAGCACACAGCTGTAGTCTACACCTATAGCTATATACAATTTTCGCCCAAAAGTATCGTCCTGAAATAGTGAAACGAAATTAATCGTTCGGCGGCGATGAAGAAAGGCATTTTTAGATTATACGGAACCGGGATTTTTTGAATTTTATAAAGGCTCAGACAAGAACTTTTGTGTTAATATAACTAAGGTAAGTCCAGAGTAAATTAAATTAAAAATGCGGTAAAGGTACAGTAACAAACTGGATAATGCTGATTGAGTATTTATTTTGTGTGGTTCAGTTTGAGTTTGATAAGATCACAATTCGTTGCTAAAATGGCCAAGGTGGTCTACGACAAATAGCTCCAATGCGACAAATTTAAATACTAGGCGACCGGTGATAATAATGAGAGGATGCCGACTGGAACCCCAGATCGAGAAAGTGAAGACTCGGAAGACAACGATTTTGAAATTATTCCCTCTCCAGTAAAAGAAAATTCACGCATACTTGCCTTACTCAACGGGCTTGGACAGGTACCTCGTGAGAAAGGTCTTGACGAGCAGAACTTCGAATGCGCGGGCTGCAAATGTGCTATTGGTAAGTTGTGTCATCACCGTTCAGCAACATGCAGAAAAAGTAAAACAGTCTTGCCTCAAAGGACAGTAGTCGCTTAAAAACTGTGACGCCGGGTTATCTTGACTCACTTTAAAATAGACCATGTAGACCAATAAGGATAATCTCGTTGCTTTCTTTGTACTTCGGAATTAGGATAGCGTGGTTACTTACTGTCTTTCGTGCATATGAAATCTGCATCTTTCAGTTGCGGAAAAAGCTAACAAATTTGTATTACTTATCGGAAAAAAACTTCGATCATAAAATATTCTTTTATTATAGGCTGCTCGTGCTTTTTTTCGTGTTTACGAATCCGCAATTAGCCAAATCAGGTCATTTAAGGCATGTCCTGATACACAACGGCAAAACATGATAGTCTGATAGTGTGATTTGTTCTTCTTCTGAACTTAGTAATTAGGCTCGTTAAAAATTCGATCAACAAGAAGATTAAAAAAATGTGATATGTATCCTATACTTCTAGTTCTATCTGTGCGGTGATACATTTGAAAAATTAATAAGACTTTGGATAATCAATCCTAAAATCTAGCACTAGTTGTTATGAGAGGTAAGATTGAAGGCCTGCACGAGAACTGAACGCGAAGCTTTTCAGATGGTGAAAGAAGCCTGCTCTGAAGCTGAGTTTTATTGTCTCTCTCTCTCAGCGTTAATTTATCACGAAACACTGTCAAATGTAGCTCATTACTTAAGTCGCCATTCTGTTAATAAGGTGTCGTTTCAGGTAAGCAATAGCTATATCATTTTAATACAATGATAAACGAGTCACATATAGCCATATTATACATATGCCAATTAATTGTTTTCATTTTATGGTTTAAAGGTATGATCTTCGGGCCCTACACTAAATGCGCGTTTGATGGTCATCTATACTGTAACGAATGTATGGGTCAGGGCACGAAAGTAGAGGAGCACGTGATACCGTCACGTATTGTCCATGATTGGGATTTCCGTGTTCAACCGGTGTGTCGTTTCAACAAACGTTTTCTCGTCCAGTGAGTTTCTCATCATCTTTTAACGCATTGCTGCCATATACTAGGTTTAAATTGCTCATAGCATGAGCCATTTCTCAAAAAACCTGTTCCAGGCTTCATATAGCTTGTTTAGACAACACTGAAGTTGTAATGATTCCCTGCTAAGCCGTTGTAGTTACGGACTTGTGTTTAGTGAGCTGCAAACCTCTAAAAAAATAACCCTCGAACCTTTAAAGCGGAAGCATCCTAAATTAATGTAGAAGAAAAAGAAGGCCGAATGATCGCACTGCAGAAAGCCTTCGCGAGCAACAAAATGGAAATGAAAAACTAAGCTTAATGAAACAATTAGTAACAAAAATAACTTGTTTGGTACTTTTTATGAACAGACAAAACCATCGTAATAAATATTGTGCTGCTCCATATAATTATGGAGATTAACTGCGAAGATTTTCCTTAGCCGGGACAGTCTTGCAGGATCAACAATAGGAAACGTCGCGGTAAAGTTTTCATTAAAAGACGAGGGGCAAGGATGGAGTATTGATGTTGTAGGCCATTATTCGATTTGTAAATGGCACGTTGGCAGCTGCAGTTAACTTAGACGTAGCCTAGTAAAAAGTACGCTGAATAAAAGTAATGAATAGAACGCTATAATGTCAGAGTGCCTAATACAAACATTGTTTAACATGTGAAATGGCAAGCTGTTATCACAAGAGATTTCACTGAGGGTCAGCTCTGTCTTAGAAAAGATGCTCTTCGAAAGCACCAAAGGATTCGGGTTCGAGAGTCGTGCATCTGCTGAAGCAGTTACCCCATTGAGTCAGGTGGCACAGCATAGGACTATCACGTGAATGTGCTGCAATGACAGACTGTTGATGTGTTAGGATACGTTCTACAGTATGATTAAAAACACACATTCGTGTAAAAGTATTCTTAAACAGCAGAATGATTTTATTAAGGAAAGCTTCGATGTAGTCTAATCATTTGCTAAAAATTTGGTTCAAATTAATGGCTATAACCGGCTGTTTTGTTGCTATGCAAATGGATAACAAGTAGCAAAATTCTGTTAAGGAATCTTATTCATCATTTATTGAAAATGATAAACACCCGTTATCTCATAGACGAAATAATTAAGGAAACTAGAGTACAGGACATACATAGTATATATAGTATACATACATATTGAGTACCGGACAGGGGGACGATTAAAATATGTATCTAAAATATAGAAGGGCACTAATATAACCGATATTGTTTTGAAAATTAATTATCTACGCCTTGCTATGAATTCGGGCAAAGGTGTTGTGCATAGAGCTCTTGTATGCAAGCTCGACAGCGCTTACCGTTCTGTCGCCGCGTGAAAAGATCATTGAACAAAATTTCGTTCATCCCACTTTTGATATATTCCGACGTGAGCCGCTTCCTAAAGTTCACTTTCTGTCTCTACCACAACTAATCCTTTAAAGGTTCGCATCTGGCACTCACTCGACGAAGTTGCCTGGATCCTAGCAGTTGTATTTATGTGTTCCTTCAGGTAAAAACGCTGTCACTTCAGCCAAAATATTATTGATAAATAAGGTAAAAATTCAGCAATAAAACAATAAATATTAAGTTACAAGCACAGTGTGGCGCTGAACAGTGTCGGTTATGTGTAACTGGGAGCGTACGACGATGCTCCGGTGAAATATGATTAATGTAATTTTAGATAGAAGCACCATTTAAAATGAATATAGAATTATGCTGAATACACGACAAAGCTTCACATTCAGGCGCTGAGATCAGCATTTAAGTTGAGTCACACTACCTTCATACTCCATCGACTGCAGTTATAGCTAAAACTTGTTCAGAATCAACATGTAGAAACGTATAGGAACTAGACAAAAATCCTTGTTTTCCCAACGAACATTAACTTATCGATCCTTTGGTAATTGTACAACTAGGTCACGCGTCACTGATTTTTTGTTTATCTAAAGCTTGTACATTGTTTAGACCAGACTAGAATAAGAAACTCTATCATATGTCTTAAAAAACCATAATATTTGCAACCAACATTTTACTGCAATACTTACTTCTGCGTTATTTATACAGCCAGCATAAATGTCGATTTGTCCTTAGTGAACCATAATCCAGAAGCCTCATTTATCTAGTAGCCCTTTTGGAACAAGGTCGTTGACTGTACGATGCGTTAGTTTGCTCAATAATAATAATGCATACTATTTACTTTCAATATTTATCAATGTCGAACTTTTGTTCACACTCTGGCACGTTATGTGAGTAACTGAAGCTCTCGAATTCCAGCCCATCTTCGCATGTAAAAGACAAAATGATTTGCAGAGTTTGCCTAGGTCAGTCGTAAACTGTTTGGAGACAGAGGAGGAATACGGACAGAGGTGGGACTACATTTAGCAGAAGAGGTTTGATACGAACCGAGGTAGGCTCAAATATAAACGTCTCTACCTGATTACCTTCATTTGAGTCGTTATAGAGCCAAGCATTACAAAAGATGTTTAAAAAAATTCCGAATCCTACATGATCTGCTTATTTCGTCCTATTTTTTTTTTTGGCCTTTCCCCTTCGCGTCATCTGTTGAGTTTATTTGTATCTTAAAGTTTCAAAGCACTTCAAATGATGATATATAAAAATCTATTTTTCTAATGACAGAAAACGAACCCTTCCTGCGAGATTTAACAGAAAATAATGAATTTGCAATTCATTCTGTATAACTCTAAGACGTTAGTCGCGTCTTCTGTTAAGTTAAAGAAACGGCTGTTATAGAATGATTATAGTTGCATATGATGAGGTGCACTACGATCAATCAATGGTATTTTATCTTTACAAAAATTTTTTTTTTGCTGTGAAACTAGACCATTCATTGACGTGAAACTACAAGGTTGGCCAAAAATCACTATATAAATATAGGGAAAGTTATTTTTAACCTTTAATTTTTTATTATAGTGGTAGAATATAAGCGCGAGCATACTTAAAAAAAATATTTACATATTTACTTGTTGATTTAACTTGAAATGATGTGATAATGGATCGGTTTGGAGGAATAAGTTTTTTTCGACTCTTGCAGTACATACATGCTAAATTTACAGAATATCTTGGAATAACTAGAAGCCATTTTTGTCTAAAAGGAAAATTGGGGCGCTGCACTCTTCTACACATCTGCATATGTATGTGAGTTTGACATTGAACATAATGCAACTCTACACTCTATGATAGAATTCGCAACAACTTGCGATACCATGTGGTGTACTTCCAGATACGAACAAGAACCGCTTCTGGACATACGAGAATTGAACGTTATGCTGTATTCAATCGTGTCAGACCTTGCCGCTGTACAGGTATGTTTTTATGGCATTTATGTCTAATGATATCGATAATGGTGGCTGGGAGCGCGAAGACTTATTAGTCGAGGCATAAAGGCGTGGGTGTTGACAACATATTGACAACATGTAGGGCAAATATATTGATTAACACATACTACTTACAAATAGTACTTATAACATCTAATTCATGAACCGATTACTCCCAACTAAAATATGGTAGGGTAAGCTGACCATGCTACAAAAGCTGGACTGTAACTGTGATCGGTGAACGTATCGAGAAGGTGGTTCTTACTTTTACTTTTTCCTCTTTATGTTGATGCTATTAAAGGTCTTGCGGCGCCAGCTACGTTTTCTTCGACTCTACTTATTTTCTTGCCAGGAGTCTGCGAAGGAGGAGCTCAAAAAACGTTTATGGTCCCGCGAGCATTTATACGAACATGTGCATCTTTATTCGACACTTGATCTTCTTTCCATACCCTCAGGTTAGTCAGGAAGTATTTATCAGAAATATACTTTTCAAATAGTTACTTCTTTTAAGCAATGGATTGTTTTAGCACTTTGCCTAAAGTGAGTAAAATTAGGGCTGAATACTCAGCGTCGGTTCCTGAAATATTACAATCAATCTATAAGTTGAATACGCAAATAAATATAAAGTTTATAAAATACAGCACAAAGTAATTTCAGCTTTGCGATATATGTTTTTAAACAAACCGTATTACGAGTCAGTGATCATTTTTATCATAAAGTTAACTGTCGATGCCACCGTGTGAATATCTGGATCAACTACTATATAGCAGTATTTAACATTGTGTCTGTCCTGTACGGTACATGTCTCTGCGCGTATAAAATCATGTCTTGACTATCTAGTTATAAAGCTTTTGCGATTAGAGTGCGGGTATGCATCAATTGAAATTTCAGATACCTTTATTTTAGATGAGCAGTTAGTTCTATACGATGCCACATCCTGGTACATAATAGATTGTCGACATATACAAGATTCCAACGAGAAGAAAGATAAGTTGTCTTGCCATTGGCCAATATGTTCATCATTAGATAATGGTGCCGTATAATTACAGGTTCCCTGCAAAAAAGTTTGGAAAAGGCTGTCCAGTTTGCTAAAAAGCATGTGCTCTTGTGCCAGCTTTGTTGCCAAAAAGGCTTCATATGCGAGCTGTGTAACGACCCAAAGGTAACTTCAATATTGGTATATGACATTTGATGAATATGTAGGACTCTGACAGGGTTTTATTACACGATTCAATTATTACTCCACTTTCAATGGGAGCTCAGCCTCAGTTTTACATATCAGTACTGTTACAAAGGTTTACTGAGAGTACACTTTCTTTACATGCATTTTGTACATAATAAAAGCTAGTTATAAGATCGTTTTTTACATATTTCCTTTCCGTTTCCTCTCTATTATGTACGTAATTCTATATACCATCTGAAAATGCTCTCTTTTTTCAAGTAATAATTGTAATTTTACTGTGTAGTGAATGGGATCTTACGTCTACATAAATCCACAAATAAGCTTCTTTGGTAAAAAAAAGCGCATTTTGTATGCACTTATTTTGTTTCATTTTTTTGCAAGATGATAAATTTGTAGAATCAACCTTGTGTACTTGTCCCGCATAAACTCCATGCATGAGAGAATACCCGCTCGGTCATCCGAGGTCAATAAGAATGATCTATAGACACTTTTGAAAAAAGCAGCAAACAACATATGAGTTGACATAAAAAAAAGAACGGTAACCGTGTGACTGTAGTGTATGAGATTATTCCAAACATGAAGAGCTTGAATCGTAAGTTTTTTTTATCGTCGTCGCGTTCTTTGTATTTCGCGTTGACCTATTCTGATCTCTGGTGAAAATATCTTAATAATATACTTAGCAATAAGGAGGGCTATACTAATTCTGTAACTCCAGACCTCAAGATGCTAGGGCAGCGAGTCAGAATAAAAAAGTTGGTTGAGAGATGGTAGAAGGTTAATAGGGACAAACTAAAGTAACCCGTTGCTAGAATTCAAGTCTTGTTTGCTTCCCTAGTTACTAAGTCTTTTTTAAGCTTGAATAAATGTGGAGAAACGCTTTGGTTAAGACCTTGCTTTGCTCGGACGTATAGTCGAGCGTGGTCTTAAACAACTTTTGGTGGTTTATTGGCAATTCGTCTATTAATGTGACTACGTTTATGTTTACCTCATCGGAATAAATCCATAGCGAATTACCCATCGCAAAAAATCAGAGGGAAGGACCTGTCGAAAAGTATGCCCTTACATAACAAAGCAGATTCGAAGTATTAATTCTATGAGAGTCACCGGTTAGATGCTAGCTCTGAGCTTAAAAAGCCCTCGCTCCATAAGTCCGTCCAACTTTATATCAGGTGTCGATGTATTGAGAAAAAGTGAAAGCTTGAGACGAAGGTTAGTAAGAATGTTTTGGTTTGATAATGCTTTTGCAAAATTGAGCAGTGGAAGTCGCGTTTTAAGTCGACAGAAGGTATGTTTGCAGTGCCTCCTCCGTAAATATTTTCTTTTCTTCAGTCACTTGTCAGTAGTGACCAGGTTTGTTAAGGCGCGACGAAGACATTGTATAGTAGTTGAGAAACCATGCAGTTGAAAATTAGTAGACTTGCAGGTTGACGTCATCAATCTTGTGATTGGAAAATGAACAACAAGAGGAACAGCAGCAACAGCCTATCGCGGGCTCTGTCGTGGCATGTCGCAAACGTTTTTGCGGCCCGAAATAAAAACCTCAGATGCAACAGACAACGTTCGTTTATAACAAGATAAGGCGAAATGGCAAGGCAAGGAAGCATCAATGCACTTGAAATCATGTTCCCAGGCCAGCTATAGATATGACATCGAGTGGCCGCCTAGGCAATGCGATTTCGCTCCTGTCGATTTTTCTCTGTGGGTCTGGGTAAAGGACAGAGTCTATAAAACAAAGTCGAAGACAATCTTTAGCCGCCGCGTTTCGAAAACGATTAGATCAGTGATGTTATAATGAAAAGTTCCGCTATCTGAGAAGACTACCCATAAGGGACAATTACGAATTGCGCGACCCCGTTTATTATTGCAGGTGATTTTCCCATTCAATATAAATGAGACGCACTTTTGCGAACGTTGCTCTGCCCTGTACCATCGACAGTGTATGGCAGAAAGGAATCAGTCTTGCATCAAGTGCGAACGGAAAAGGCTGCGTGAGCAACGCCTAGCGCAGCAGCGGGAGCTTGATGAAGGCAGCTTCAAATCATGATAGCCTGGCAATATTTTTTCCAAGTTTTCAAGACACATCTTAAGGACATAAATAAAGCTAGTCCATTCTGTATCAGAACACAGGTCAATCTAGCAGTGATACCGCGAGGTATATTGCCATGTATTAACGGCTTTGTTACGAACCATTTGGATGAATTTGGAACAAGCGGTATCCCAGCGCTATCAACACGAATGGTAGGTGATATGAGTAATATCATGCCGTTATGTCAGTCTAAACTGTGATGCTGAATAGAGCGAAGAGTAAGTGTACAAGTTTAATATATAATGAGACTCATATGTCAAAACATGTGATGTAGAACATGAAAGATTGAGAAAAAAAAAGCAACTTTCTGTTACCCGTCTTTACGCAAAGATTGCTAAGCATACAGCTCCTAAATTTTCTTTTTCTAGAAGAGTAAAGAAATAGAAACGTATTTATTGATTAAATCGAAAGGATGCCCCACTCACGATTCTTTGAATATTGCAAAGTTCAACATCACGGGTGAGTCCTAATTATATGCTTTTCAAATATTCCCTTCTTCTTCTTCGAGGAGCCTTTTTATGATTTATAGCAATAAAGTAGTTGGTCTTATGTATATTATTGGCACATTTTCATTGCCAAATATCGATAAAATATTACCGTACATAGATTATAATTACATTTCACAAATTAGCATTAAAACATTTTACATTCCGCTTCAGGCTAGAACTACCTATAATTCAGTCACACAATGAATGGAAGTAAACATCTGGGCCCAAACAATCAATAGCTAAAACAAACTTGAAGAAAATGCCCTTGAGGATAGTTTGGCAGAAGTAATAAAATTAAACTAACCCTATTGCTATGTTGGTTACCACACATGCTATATGATTTTTCGAAATAAAGAAAGTTATTTTTACCGCCATTACGTAATTAAAAACTATATAGGTGTCAATGACTAGTAACTAGCTAATATTTGAGGGAGATAACGGAGTGAGCAGCTATTACATAATACTTATAAATAGAACGTACTGTCAGTATCCTATTCTTTAGTTAAATGTCTGAGAATAGTTTTATCATCTGAAGATACAAATATTAAAATGATTCAACAAGTGGCGTGCCCTGCAAAGTAAACAGGATAGACCTACATAAGAACCTTTCCTAGATTTTTATGACTATTACGTGAAAGTATCTCCAGTAATGGGAAAAAAGCACGGTATTGTCTATTTTTACGAGCTAACATTTAAAGCTTGAAGCTTGATAAATAAAACTGTAGAAAACTTGAGAAATATTATGAGTACACAATTGAATATATCCATTTGAGATGCTACAGTGAAAATTATTTCAATATGAGATTTATTTTTATTCATACGCTCTTTGTGAGATGCGCAAAGGCGAGGACAAGGTTGTGAGTGCTGGACCAGTTATGTTTACCGACTAGCTTGGCTGTAGTTTTAATGAAAAAATCCCCTACGTCGTCACTCGATACGACTTTATTCCCAATGGCCGTGTCCAAGACCAGCTACTCCATTCAACTTGTTTAAAAATGCCTTGCATGACTGACTAAGGTTTTGCTGAGTGGCATTGCTTCAAACAACTCGTTGCAATCGCAAGCACCGGGTACGAGTAAGAATTACTATCAGGCTGTTTACAAGCTTTATAGCTTTTTTTTTTATCTATTGCTTCTCTTTTCTAATGGTCCGTTGGCTAATGCCGAACTTGAAAAGTTCTCTTGTTATCGTTCTTGAGAATTACAAAGTTTTACCGTATGTTTAGGTTCAAAAACGTATATAGAGCTGTAAGGCAAAAAAAGAGAGTTCTTTAGTGACTTATGACGTTAGGCCACCAGTAAATGAAACAATGAAAAGGATACCGACAAACGAAACATTGTAATAACCATACTTCACTGGGTTTCCTTTGTTTCTAGTAGAGGGTAGAAGTCTCTTTGAAGAAGGAACTTTGGCCACATCATATGTGATTGTTTCATTTAACGGATATTAATGAAAAGCCCGTTATTTATTCACAAAGAATTTAGTGACGCCATAATGACATACTGTGGGTACTCGTAGAATAAGAAAGAACAGGTGGGTTGCTGGTTAAAGGACCTTACGGCAGGTACCCATAAGTAAGTTTGCAAAATTGGTAGAAAAAAGACACTCGTTTAAGCAGAGTCATAGGGAAGTATTTCTGGACGCATATCTACCCAGTTCTCCACTATGCAATGCGATAGTTGCACCACCAGATTTGCAACATTATTTCGTCAAGAAATTTCGGGCTGTCGCTCGGGTTTTTGTGAGGATTAACATCCAAATAATAATCTTCTACACTGTCGGAACCCAAAGCTTAGGCGCCTTGCTTACTACTAATAAATATGCATACGCTTCGCCTGAGTAATAAACTGATTTTATCATATTGATAGTCTTATTTTCTGATATCCAGTGACTGCCGAAAACAACAACAGCTCTTTGTTTGTTCTGTGGGCCTTACCCAATACATACAAATAACTCTAATTTGTAATAAAGTGTTATCTCAATACAATTGAGGTTATTTATTCGCCGGGCCATAAGTAGTCCACTTTCAAAAACTTTTTAGCTATTGATAAATCCCAACTTGGTCTATCTGATCGATAGGCAATAATGTTACTCGTCGAAAGGATACAGTTGCGTTAAACGCACAGTCTTTAGCAGGTGCTTATCCAAACACCCCAGCATCAAACCAATTAAAGGGGTTTATAAAGACGGTAGAACTTAGACCAAAAAATCTATAGTCTTTAAACTCAGTTACATATCAAAGAGTATTGGTCTATCACATGCCTGACTCATCTTTATAAGCGAAACGCGCACTCAAAGGAGAGAGATTTCAGCCACTAGAATTGGCAAATCTCCGTTTCAAAATATATGGGCGGGATCCGTTAGCTGAAATTGCAATGGAAACGAAAAGTCGTTAGCGTATATACCGAGGCCCATTGCGGTATATGTGACAAGCTTTAGTTTGTCAATTAACGTTATGAAGGAAGGGATGCCAAGGACGGTATTCGGAAGACATTCGGATGAAGTAGGAGGAACTTTAGAAGACAGTCAGTTGTCAAACATCTTTTTTGGTTCAGGGCTGGGTAATGCACGCCGTTATGTGGTTTAGGGTCCAGATAAGATTAATGAATATTACAAGTTTAACGCACAGGAGGCAAAAGAAAAAGTCCAAATATCTATCAAAAAGTTCGGTCAGGAAATAATCTAAATGTTGATGTTTTTTTTTTCGTCTCCTAATTATCGCATTTTCATTTTAGGTAACAATTCTAACTGCTCGGAAAAGTAGGAGGTTTTATGGTTCTGGATGCTGTAAATAATATAATAAATAATAATACCTAAAGGAAGACTAGGAATTGGCGAGACGACTCGGCAAGAACCGTATTTGTCAGCCATGTACAGTGCGAATTCGTTCGCTCGTATTCTTCCCTTTGGCGATGCTAAAGGTACCCCAGTATTTTAGGCCAATATTTATGATGGAACTACTCTTAGATCCAGGGTAAAACATAAACTGACTTGCAGCCTATGATACAATCGATGTAGGCCCGACTTTTAATAATAATAAATGGGCACGATAAATATTTAGTTGTGGTTGAGGTTGGGAGTTCAAAAAAGGTTGAATTCTCACCTGGCTTACGGTGATGTAAACACAGTGTCAACAAACCGTATAGGTAACATCAAAGAGTGCCACTTTTGAGAGTCTTTGGAACTTTAAATTGATCCTGCGGCTTGCTGGGAATACGTTTTACAAGCTTTGAGTTGCGAAGCGAAAGACGACACTTCCAAACTTTGGAAACTTATTAGAGAATCTTCAAGTGGAAGACATTTAAAAATGGTTCTACCATCGGTGCTGGGATCTCGACTCTAGACATCAATCTCAGTTGCTGTGAGTCTAACTCACTTTTCACAACCATTGGCTCTACTATGGTTACTTTTCTTGATATTCATGGCAATGTTAGGATAAATATATCGATACATAAAGCGATTTGGCACATAAACTGAGCGTCGTTTAGCCAAATTTATGTCTGTATCCAAAAAATTCAGATGGTTCTAGAATTTCCGAAAGCTGTATGGGGATGCGGGGCTGCTGATATTAGTTGTTTAAGAATGCCACGTCAGCACTTATTAGTTCTCTAGCTAGTATTGTCAACCTATTTATCGACACCAGCTCTTTTCCTAATAGGTTCAAAGACGTGAAGATTTCGTCTCTAATGAAGAACGTACCCGATTCAATATTTTTGGTTGATTACTTTTCCCAGGTTTTTGAAAGACTAGGGATTAGCGAACTCGAAAAACACCTTAGAAGTGCTAGAGCACTCATCCACTTAATTCGATTTTCGAAAATCTCGGCGGAGTGAATTCGCATTGGTGCCATTTAAAATAAGCAGGTCTGCCTCGATGTGTTTACAGATGTTGTGGCTTTCTTCAACTGCTCAGGTCAGTCAGTCTTTCTGCAAATGTTAGATTGTCTGGCGTGCACACCGATGCATTGGTTCAAGGCGTACTTCTTTAAGAATACGGCCGTATTGGGTTCGCACGAGAGGAATTAGACATTGAAACACTAAGGCTTGATTCTCGAGGACAGTATTGGAGCTGGAATTACGCGTCAATTTCTCCATCACACCGCGTTGAGCGTTTTTTTTTTTACTAAAATTGCCCGGGACAAACAGACGCCGTATTATGAGACAAAAAAAGAGAAAAGAACGCGCAAGGGTGCTCGGAGTGCATGACGTGATTGTGCAATCAGTAGTAGAAAATAAACAATTCATCCCCGTTAATCAATGAGCGATGTTTTTTTTTACTGTAGGATACAATAATTATTTATGAAGGTTACGGACTAAATTGGGCATAACATCACAAAATAAAGCTAGGACAAGTTTCAATTGGTAAAATTCAATTGCCACAAACTTCTCGTTAAGTTGGTTGTTAATAGAACTCTTGTTTGGGGGCATGTAGATAACGATTAGCGAGGACAAGGATTTCTTTTTTTAAATGTAGTGCAAAAGCCTTTCCATCAAGTGTTATTGACACTGTTTCAGCCCAAGGTTTCAAAGAAAGAGACGTTTGATGAAATTATCAGGTATATTTATATTACTACACTACAATGTAGTGTACTCTGGACTTGTGAAATACACGTTAGTTTGCAAAGACAAGCTGCAAAGATATCAGTGGGGTCCAAGTTAACCTTTGGCACATGCAAAAGTTTAAAATAAAGGCGGCTATGTGCGAGTTCAGGGCAATATATTCGGATATAAAAACGAGGGCATCGTGAAAAAACTGAACCATAGTTGACATCATTCGCAGTGACAGTCGAAACAGCCACAAATATCGAGAGTATCATAGTAACAGTGAGGAAGGATTTAGAACAGCCAATGACTGGATTCATTCGTAGTAATGAAAACTGCAGGCCGTATTGACAACCGATACAAGAGTTCCGGATAACTCTATTTTAACAGCTCTCAAAGTGCTAGAAAGAGAAATATCATAGATTGTTACAGGCTGGATCGCAGGGCACCGCTTGCTCTACTTATAATCAATTGTTGCAAAGGAAGAGGGGTGCTTCGGTACTACGCAAGAGATATGGTCATTTAAAGTGTGCAAATTAAGAAGCAGTGGTCTAAATCAGGCCCCAGCTGCGGTGAATCCATATACTCAAATTGTGCTTCTGCTAATCGACTGAGAAGCTGCTCACTAGGACATGCAAAAGCAAACGTACAGAGAATGCCGATGCTATCGCTGGCTTACTGTGTTCTCCCATGCATATTTAAGCCGCTGAAACTATGTGATTTCTTCACGCTAAATTGTCTACAAGTACATTCAGACACGATTTCGCTAATTTCTGCTATCCAGCATTGCAAAAGATAATTTTCTAATAGTGTCGTCGCCGGTCTAAGGTGCCAAATGTGCTCCGCCACCGGTAAATGAATATCGCATCCATGCTCACCTAAGGACAACGGTGGACAAGATCGCTGAGATTCATGACACATTCAACTACCTGAACGTGGAACCAAAAGCATTGTTCGCTAAATTAGGCCTTTGTGTTTTGAGTTGTACATCCAACATCGCCGATTGGTATTCCATCAGACAGCTGATTTTCAGCACGAAACGAAGTCTGTTTGTGCTCAGGTTCTAACCTAGACTACAACGTATTCTTGAGATTTCCGAGCAAACACGTTACCCACTAAGTTATCACGAGGACTGCTAACTTTGGCCCAAGCGATGCGTACAATCGGTTCAAATTGTTTCCGAAATTTAAGCATTTAATAACAACTGGAACGCCAAGGACCTGTTTCAATGTAGCAGGGTGCTGAACAATCCTTTTTCAACCCCCTGCTTACTTCCAGTGTAGCTTAAAAATGGTATTTAACATATTAGTTAGGTCAAAAGTTGGAACAGTCCACAAGATTAGCTTAATTTAGTTGAGAAAAGCTCTAAGCAGAGCATAACCTGAAATTAAAATTAAATAATTGTAACCTTGTGGAGAATAAATCGTAGTTTCTGGTCACCTGTTAAGCGGAGGAGGCCTAAATTTAATTATTGATGTAAAAGAATGGTTAAGACTACGAGGAACGCGCCAAGACCAGTGTTTATGTCAGGCGAAGTACACGCGCGATAGAAGCCTTTCTTAACAAGAATCAAATTTTGTCATTAGCAGAGATATTAACAATTACCGCATTACTGAACGGAGACGATCGTGATTACCTATCTGAACGACTGTTCGGACGGAGGAAATCCTGGATTAACAAGGAAGAACCAGAGGTGGATCGCTATCAAAGAAACGACAAACTTCTAACTTAAATCTGGCTACATGAAATACTAAAAAGAGCGATCTCAAACGAAGGCTGTAAGGAAGAAGAGTCGTAGTATCCTCAAGATGAGGAGCGTGTAAGGTAGGTTACGAGTTCCAAAGATGTAAGAACAATATCAAACAAAGCTATTTGCAACAAAAACCAGGGAAAGGACCTTGGGGGTACAGGAGTTCTCCTGGTGGTCGTGTTCATCAGACGGAACGATTCACGTCCAGTCAGTGTGTTCAAATGGTGAAAAAAGCCACAATGCGGCCGCAAGCAGTAGACAAGCATTAATTAATGCATGTTTACCATCTGTATGATAAATTACAGACCGTAATTGCATTAGCTTAAATTTAAACTCATGGTGCGATTTTACGATAATACTTATTATGTATTTGGGTACTGTTGAAAAGCACTTGAAAAGGGCTTCTAAGAAACTATATACTGTGTATAATTTAGCCCAACAAGAAAAAAATGCATCATACTTTCCTAATTATGATTTGTCATCTTTATGTGTTTTTGAATACAATATATCTTATAAACATGGTTTGTCGGAATAACTATTATATATATTTTACAAGGACTGCATGTTTTCATGCGTTTTTTTTTGAGCAATTAACTCGTTCTTGGATCCTTAAAATCAAAGTTATAGCTTTTTGAGCGAGTACGAAACATGTACAGGATTCATTTTCGGAATTAATTCTCTATTGCAGATTTATGCGATAACATCGATTGACAAGTCACAAAGTTATAGCTTTTCAACATTTTGAAATTGGGATCCTATTTTTGGATATATTTGGGCAATGCTTTTCGCAATAGTTAAGATTGTGTTATAAATAAGAAGTGTAATAATTAAGATAATGTTTCTGAAAATGGTCTGACGTACCTGGAAAAAAATCCAAGTTATGCTATGAGATGCTAAAAACAACCTCATCCCTAGAATATAATGAATTAGAGAAAGAGTATCTCTCGGAGCTGTAATTTTGACAGCCATTGAGGATTTATGAAACATCCGAAATAGAAAAGTTACTTAATTATTATTAAGACTATTAATAATAATCGTTTTCATTTGTCCTATAGAATCGATTGTTGTATTTTCCTGAGCAAACAGTTTTAGAATTTCTAGCAACTTTGATGTTTCCACATACATAGTTTGTTTTTTTACAAGCAGTTTGAGACTTTAATAAAATTTCAGAAATTATTAGGTTTCATATCACGGAATAAGGGCAATCTAACTTCTATATGATACCAGATCAACGATGCAGATGTGATTGATAATAACAATTAAACCAATGCAGCAAAGTTACTGAATTTTTATAGTCGAATAAATAGAATGCATTGGGTTAAATGATGAGAGAATTGTAATCCTGTGATTTCAATGAAACGCATTAAGAATTGTAACAGTAGTGAAAGTTCGCAGATGGAAAAGCAGCACAATAATTTTTATAGTGTCCGACGCGTATGTGCTTTGTCGATCATACGTAAGAACGAGCTAGTTGATCAAATCCTTTGAGCCCTAGCTCTATATATATCAATTGTTAGCTATTTCAGAATTTTTACCTGTGTGATGATACCACACGAATCAAGTGGAGCTAGCTAATGGGACTCCATACTGCTGTTTATGAACAGTCGGTCAGTTGATAGCGAACTATCTGCACAAAATATGTATTTCTCAGTTATTTATATAACTGTAGTACTGGGATTCTACGTACTGGCCAGCCCTCTGGCTTTAGCGTCTTTATTAAATTAGTTCGAGACAAGCAGGTACCGTGTGACGGCTAAAAAAACGACACGGTGAGAAACGGAAACGAAGTTGTGGAATCAAAGTTAGCAAATAAATAATCAGTACCAGTAATCCCTAGGGTAATGTGCATCTTATTGTAAAATACAGTAATATCAATAGTGGCAGTTAGTGTTTACCAACTATAGCACACTTCATAATTGTTGTAATATAATTATTTTTTTCTTTTTCGAATAGAGTATTCGCAATGTAAATCTTCGCCTTGAAAGGTAAAAAAAATAATGTCTGCACTGGATTCGTTCAGGTAAACTCATATGGTTTCATTTGGCTTAAATTATGCATTCGAATGACTTAATTTTTAGGAATCAATGACTCCCTTAGAATGTGAACTGTGCATACAATAAAGTATATATTTATATTTGGAAAAATAAATGCCACGCATGGAAGTTGTGAACATTATAGATCGTTGCGCAAAGATTATTAAGATGCCTTACAGATTGATCAGAAAAAATATTTTCTGTTACAGCCTCCGCTATTTTGCGATGGAAGTAATTTATCCCGTGTTATTTCAATTGCTGTCCTTGCTTATGTTCTATGCTTATGTTCTATGCTGTCGATGCTTATGTTCTATTGTAGTTTTTATGACGCTTTGGAATTTTCTTTATTAGAATTTCTGTACGCTCATAATGTCATTCTTTGTGGTGATACATGTTCACTGTAACCCCTATTGAGCTCAAAAGCAGTTCTATTCGGAACCTAAATCACTCATTAGCAATTTCCAAAAGTATTTTTTTATACCCGCAAACAATTTTTTAGTACTAATCCTATATAACCGGACGTAAAATAGGAAAAGCAATATTGTGCTCTTCGTATTTTACGTCCGGTACATCAGCTGTTAGGCATTGCTTCAGACGACTGGCTCCCAGAACGAATCGAAGTGTGAGTGTTTGCCGGGATCGAACTTTAACTATTGCACATATCTAAGTGTACGGGACTTCACTATTGCGGAGAATAACTTCGAAACCTATTTTTTGTATTAGCGTCATATAATGTAATTTATTTTGTAAAATGAGACTTTTTATAATTGCCTTTAAACCGAACAGGGGAAGAGGAAAAAACAGCATCCCCCATCAATGTAGCTGCAAACAAGGAGGCGAAGCACCGACTGCGACATGAACGATTGTCCACTTAAAGAAAGAAAAAAATTTTAAGTGATTATTTTTACTGTTATTGCACTGATAGGAATAGAGCTGACAATCCCTACTGCTCTGTTACAGCCGCACTGCAGCCGTTAGACGTCGCTTCATACGGTAACTACCATAAAGCGAAGTGTGTTTACGACAGGGATCGAACCTGGACCACAACGTATTTGTAAATGTAACATACAAATACCTTAACTGCGTTATCACAAGTCTATATACATTTACAAACGTAGACCCATCAAGATGTTCCTGAAATAAGCCGTATGTAAAAGAAAATCAGCAAAATAAAATGCTGGGTTTGTAAGCGGCCAAAAAGCCTTTAAGTCAAAGCTCAAATTTCCAAAAAGTATTTATACTTTCAAAAAAACAAGCGTTAAAGCTCATCTGTGCGACCTAATCAACGATAGCTATCCTTCGCTTGAAAATAGACATGTATTTCTGTATTAAATAACCAGAATAATATAATGAATAGTTTTTCACTTTGTTTTGAGTCTCTAAAAAATGAATCTCATTAACGATATTTCGGTTAGCCCTATAGAACAATTTCGCGGTTCATATAGAAACCGTAAGAAAATTACCAATAACGAAGATCATTGATTTAGGACAAATAGTATAGTTTAGGTAATTTTAGCGAATAGCTGTTATCTGTGAAGAAATTGGTCAATAGCTAGTCTTGAGCTGAATACTAGCCGAGATCAGAAAGTTGACTGGAATATATTTGTACCATGTGCGGTGTGGACTCCATGCTTGAAGGACTTTTTAAAAAAGAGTTGGCTAAGTTCAGTAATAGCAGATTTGAACTGAAGGTGCGTCCCTATCGATTTTGAATCGCCCTGTCGGCGATTCTAGGTCCATAGGAACCCTTGAGCAGGCGAGATTATGACGAAATACGGACGGCAAACAACCCATACCTGTGTGCCTCATAAAATGACTGAACTTGGAATTTTCATAGTACTGGCCTTGCGAGTACTTGAACTGTTGTTATCGTAGCCGTTCCGTCTACTCGGAAGATTTTGCGTGACGCAATGACTCGTATTACTGCGTGTTCTCGAAGAACGGCCGTTTATAGGGTAGTTTTATCAGCCGCTGGAGTCAGCGACGTAAGTCAGAGGCACCTCTGCTTCATAGTAGTGGCCATTGCTCCGCAGAAGCTTTCGCTGCTTTTTGGAACTTTACATAATGTAGAGGTTCTGTAAAATATTTGCCTAATAGGGCTCCCAAATATCAGGATGTAAGGGCTAAAAGGCCATTGAATTCTAAGCGTATTCCTATGCGTAGTTTAATACAACCATATAGGACGAGTATTGCCGCGGTACTAGCCTAAGCCCATAAGGGTACAGTTAATGTGGTATGTCTATTTATTGATGAAGATTCGTAGTTCATCTACTTCTTGAGCAGTAATAGTGACAGGTGTGCCATTTGCATATATGCATATGAAGACCCTTACTACCTTTATATGCAATAATCCAGGGTGATTTTCATAAAACTACCTCCTAAAAACACCTACAGTGGTTAGATATCTTTACTCTATCTAATATCCGATTTAGATATGGAGAAATCCTCTGAGAAAGTCCCATGACACGGGGACTTTTTTTAAAATCGGTTATGTCCTCGAATCGAAGCCCTCGCCAAGAATAGTAATGTAAATAGGTGCTATTGATGTCTAAAATTATAGCCAGGCGGTGATATCGTGAAACGAGAAGCTTTTCGGTCCTCAGTTATAGCTAGTGCTTTGCTGTTAGTTGAGTTGGTAAGGTGCCTTATTCCGAAGCCACACTGGTTTGGAGATAAGGCGTTCTGTCTCTCTATTCCTCAGGTATAAAGTATTAAATGGAATGGTTAGTTCCAAAAGATATGCCTAAGACCGCACTTAAATTTCCATTTAAAAAAGAGCATGATTTACATTTAATGGGACTGTAAGTGTATTATACAGTGCAAATTATTAACAAAACGGTAGACAAAGATCTGTGTAGAGAGCCCAGTTCCATTGACTAAGCAAAACTAAAAGAGCAGAACAGATCAGGTTGACACGGCAAATCCATCTTTTTCTAAAGGAATGTTACGCACGTGGCAAGAGTTTTTTGCAAAAGCCCCTTAAGGCAGCTAGGATAGAAGGTCCTTTAGCACAATATCCTTCCGATCTCTCGGCCGACGGATTATCACGTCTTCCAACTAGTGGCTAACGAGATTGAAAAATGGCACAAGATCGTAGCGAATGACCGTGAATCTATAATAAATCAATTAGTTTCAGTCAAAGTGAGTCTTTTATTGGATGAACGAGCCGCCATTACTTTCTGAAGAGTCTTATTGCGTGGCTATACGTAACTCACTCTCCGCCAGACAACAAATAAACTTTATTATCCCTAGTGGAATAATTCGTTAATTATCCTGCTTTTGTTGTGCGTGGCCCGTCGACTAAAGTTTTAAGATGATGGTAGATTTTTTCCACCAACCGTTTTATAAATTATCTATTAGCACCAGAATATCTTGTCGTTAGATTATTTCGTCTTAAAAAGATTGCAAAATAAAAGTGAGTGACAATTTGCAAGGAATAAGAATTTCATATATGTATTAGTACATAAAAAGATGATTTTTTTTTTTGTTTTGTTTGCAATGGGTGCTTTTAAAACATTTCGATTTTTATAAATGTTTGTGTCCATTTTGAGATTATACAGTAGCATACATTTTAACTTAGAAAAACTGTTTTTTCACCAACTTGTGTTCGTCAGCTTAGCTGATGGAAGAACTAACCCAAGAGTCTCAATTATTAACTTCTTTATGCAGCGCGAGATTTAAGAGAGTTTTCATCATTTCCCTTAATCCGGATCAATCTACGTAGCCAAAATTTGCTAGTGAAGCTTTCATCTTTCTTATGAAATCGTGAGGTAAACGGCAACAGCCTTGGCTTGGCTGTGGAAAGAAACACAGTAGACGATCACCGTAATCGAAACTTTTTAGCGTTTAAAAGTTAAAGCAAAACGATACTTCTATAGTTTTGAATGTGTAAAGTGAATATCAGCAGGCAACGTTACCATTATGATAAACATATTGTCCAGCTTGAAATCTAATTCAGCAATAATGAAGCACACCTTATACAGTTGTATTTCATTTATTTAAAAAAGAAACATTGTCCGAACTTACTATTGGGCTCAAACTAGATATGTTAGAATGTGTAGCTTGGCTATTCATCCGCCGTATTACAATAAATATCAGTATCTAGCAAATGATTAACCTTTAATTGATATAGATCAATAGATTTATACAGCTTGCTTTTCTGGATTCGTGTAGATTTTTTCGTCTTTTCCCCACAAGGTATCAGAGTAATGCATAGGGCATATCGAGCCAAATACATTTGGCTACACATTATTCATATTAGCTGCGCGATGTTGGATTAAATGTTACATTCGCCCCATCAGCCGCAATCAAACATTCCTCACAACATTTACGTTGTTGATTTGCAATGATCATATTTTCTAATTCATCATGCACATTCAATGTTCATCATGCACACTAGTTCGTATTTCTGAATTATGTCATTATCGTACATCCTCACCAATCTTGCAGCTAACATGAGTCACCAACGTATAGTCATTGAACGTATTCGCACATATACCGTGTACATGATAAAAATCAAATAACGTTTTTCATACATCTTTATACAGTATAGTTAACGTCTGTGAATAATAGTATCACGCTAAAGGGATTCTCAATTCTTATTAGAGGGCTGATTCTGAACTTAAACTTTGTAACCTTAGTAATTATCGAATGACCTCCCTGAGCGATTGTTTTGCACAGCGCTTAATATAAAAGCGGAAAAACTAGAAAATTTTAGTCTATTGCATAATCAAGACGCAAGCTTGCAGGTAGGAGAAAATAGGTAGAAATACAAGTTTACAGTTAAAATGTTAATTTTGGCCTTACCTTCATTCTAACGAAAAGTAGTTTTTCAAATGTGTAGGTTTATCCTTGCCTAAGGATTTTAGTTGGGATTAACATTCTGATTTCAAGCACGACTGCGACAACAACTACAAAGAATCATGAAACCAAAAAATTCGTGAATTTCATTTTTAGGTCTTCCTCGCAGTCTTTGGTGTGATCACCGAGATTGACGGACGAACTTCGTCCACCAACATTTTTCTCTCAGCCAATAAAATCGTGAAGGTAGTCTGCTTTCGATCTATATTTCAGGTATGAAAGCAGATTTCGTTTTTTTTTGCAGCTCAATTTTTAAGTACACATTTCCTAAGCGAGTGTCTCTAGGCGACCGCTCAGTTCTTTTTGGATAATTCAGTGAGCTACGTACGATTGATCCACTCTGCAACACACAGTTTTGAATCCAATCCACCCGATTCACAAATGTGGCGTTACTGCTGCGCCCCTCCAGGGCCTATTCTAGCCTCCTCTTACAGTGGTCAACGCATTACTAACCCATGCAAAAGCATGTTGCATAATTCTACTGAAGTATGGAAGATCTGATAGATAACGCTGAATTTTGGTGCCGTTCCAATTGTTCAATTGTATCTAACTAAAATTTGACAGTTAAACAACAATCAGTTACATGTTAGTACTAAGCCATTTATTGTTACCGTTGAGATGAATAAAGTGCACTGTGCTCTTTTCTAGAAGTACTGCAGATCGGTTTTCTTGGGGGTCAAAAAACATTAAAATGCATTTCTACCTGGATAAAAAACTTTTGTAAAAATGGTATTTGTTGCTACCTGTCCGAAACTGACTTAGGGCACTTGGTCCTGGTTTTCTACTATGTAAGTATAATGCAGACTTTTATGGCGCTATATTATGTTTTATTATGTACAATCATGACTGTTTAGAGTGAGAAAATGGTTTGTTTTGCAGATGTAAACCCCCTATTCTATATTTCCGCGAGCCATTATTGTATCTGTATAATAATGTTATGATATCTGCTATTATAAATTTATAATAAAGAAAGCCTAATAATTGCATATACAACAAAGAGCGCCAGAATCAGCGATGGTATCTTTGATTCAAGAAGCGTGTTATCAATGGCTCAAAGCAGTTACGGTTTAGCAATAACAATTCATCATTCATCTGAATATGACTAAGCTCTAAGGTGACTGTATGTGTGTACATAAGCCGGCTAAAGTTAACTTACTCTACCGCTTCCCATTGTGTTAGCAGATCATATCCATTAAAGGTCCAAAATAGTTACCCATTTATTTACTTATTTTTGATGCTCTATTTTTATACTATAATCTCTATTGCGGACTTATACATATCTGTTACCTGCTTTACAATTTAAATATGCGTTTGTTTTTCAAGTTATAGTATAGAATTGGTTATGTACATAATTACTGCTATAAACACTATGGCTCTTTTAGGCGTTATATGGTTGCGGTAATACAATTTTATACATCGTTATACTTATTCTATAATACGAAATATTCTGCAAAATCAGCAGCGGTAATTGTACTATAATAATAATAATAATAATAATAATAGTGATAAAGCATTATGCGTAGTAGGTAATCGTGGTATAATAAGAATATATATATATGTTGTAACGCCGCGCGTCATCTTCCATGGATTTGCGTCACTTCCATCCAGAGATTTTTAACGGCATTTATTTATACCATGTAGTAGTTTATTAACAGTTAAGACAATTCTATTAGAGCAGTAAATAGAAACATCCCGTTCAGTTCATAAGAGCCAGGTCGAATCAGCAAACTTTTTACGTTACAAATAACGTAATTAGATATTTATATATGTTAGCCTTTTACTGATAAACACAGCATAGCACAGTTAGCAAAATCTTGCGCAGCAAGGATTAGAACCAAGGGCAATGATGTATTTGATCGTAATTGTTTTGATTTATAACCATTTTTTAGCAACAGAGGCTAAGTTAGCGTTCAAATATTTCGCAGTCTATCAAACCTTCAAGTTTTATTGAACAATTGGTAAATCATTTATTTTAGTTAGAGTAGTTAATGTCATGTTACCAGGAACACGAAACAAGCTCTGTTGATTACTTTTTTGAGGCCATACATTATGTAGTCTAACTATCAGTTACTACTTTTAATCTGGCGCAGCCGTTGCCCGCCAGTTGCTGTACTACTGAGCGTTAATTTTATGGAAAGCCGCGAATGTTAATTTACGCCTATCTCTGAAAATTTGATTGACAACAATTACGTATAGTTAGATGTGCCAGGCACGCGGATCGCACAGTATTTATACGAACCTGTAGAAAGATGAGACGCTTTGCTGAAGATCTTAAACAGAATATACGCTAAAGATAGTTGATGACTGAAGATAAAGCATAGTATTTTTTTTCTAATAGCAAAATCGTATGCAGTTTTAATGCGGACACCAGTGATGGCCAAAATTTTTACGACCGAGAGAAAACCGTGCCTGGCTCTCGTTCCGCTGCAGTCTGTACGTAATGAGGCAACACGATATTGGCTGTATTGTTTATTGTGAGATAAGCACTGGCTTGCCACAGCTGTGGGAGATAAAAAAAATCTAAGCGTTAAAGAAGCGTTCTGTGCTTTACACTTCACGGTACATCCGGTTGCATTGAAATTGAAGACCATTTGAGCGGCCACTCCTCAAAATCTAACTGTTTCAGCCTAACATATACGCCCTCTTCATATCATTTATAAATACTTCACAATTCTTTAGCACAATATTATATAGACATTTGTGCTGCCTATGATGAGGTGATATACATATATTGCTTAAATGTCCACTCGAGTTTTCTCCAAAGAGCGATTCTAAATCAATAATAGTTCACGTATGCAAGCGGAGAATTACATGATAAATGAACACAGGTAAACAACTTGGCCTGCTCTACATAATATACCCGGAACACGTATTATAGATTCCACTATGCAGAAGTGTAAATTTTATTTAAATTGTATTAAATAGCTCATTTGTGTTTTTTCAAATAAAGGCGAAAACTTTACGACCTCAATCAATTAAGTGGCTTCAAAACTATGGCCTTTAACGAAAAATTCACAAATATAACTATGGACTGTTATTAGATCTTGAATGGAGAAACAATTTCTTTTTTCGTACAAAAACTTCTAATCCAGCCGCGTCTACGGAGAGAATCATTTTCACTCTATTGCACGAGAACGTAGACTGTCGTTTTAGCACATCAGTATTGTTGATCTTTACGGGAAGAGCATAAATAGAATATAAAAAGGTCATATAAGTTACAAATGAACACGCTTTTCTCATGCTCATGGTAATAACAGGTATAAATAAAAACCATTATAAAGCGAAAAGTATAAGACTTACAAGCCTGTCCAGGATGGTAAGTCTTAGTTTAGGAAATATTACGTGGACTTTATTGTTGTACGATGCTTTATGAAGTCAAGTGTACCAGAATGAGATCGTAGAAGCTTCCCGGTTTAAGATTGGATGAGAATTTTTTAGCATCTTATGCTTTTGTGACATAATTTTTTGAGTTTGTCGGTCATAGCTTATATTGTAAGAATATTCGCCCCTCACGCACGGTCACTTAAAACACACGGTTCTATATCTTCAATACACAGTATTACTAGACTAAATATTACTTCCTGCTAATGCTATAATAACACTATAAAATTCAATGTTTGTCAATCGTCCTCATAACCATCCCCGGTTGGTTATGCTACTAACGTGGTTAACAGACTGCTTCGACGCCTGTTTTGCTGTATCTTTCTGTGATATATTGTGTCTGTCAACGTATCCTAATATAATCTGCCCTACACATGGCCGCCAAAGACTGTACCGAGTAACGTCCGGTAGTTTTGGGTATCCGAGGTTGACTATTACGCGGCGAGATCCCATTCCCAAGTGACACATAAATCGACCAGGTCAGTGGATAAGTACGAGTTCACTGTAAAATCAGCTCCGCCGCATATATGTCCATCTGACTCATAGTTTTTCGTACCTTTTGCATTTATTGTTAGCCACTGATTAGAATTAATTGCCGTTTTCATCGTGGAAGGACGATCTTTTCCTCAGCCGCTAGCATTGGGGACCGCATTTGTCGGCCATTGCACATGCAACTTATGGCAGGATCATTATCGTCACCACTGTCTTCAGTAATTCTAATAAAAAAAAATATAAAATGTTGGTTATACAGCGAAGTGGTTAAACTGTTCCTGTGAAGACTGATGAGCATTAGACCGTCTTGATGCTTGAACTCTGCCTACCATTATTATTGTATTTATATGATGATGATAAACAGTATTTGCTTTACTATACCAACAGCCATTTGCTATTCTTGGGTAGTTATGCTCATTGGGCCGTGTGTATAGCAGTCAATCATAGGCCACTTTCCGCTTTTCTTGTTCAATTGACCATTAGCGTGTGCGACTCCATCGGCGCTGCGGAATCATAAAGTGTGTCTGTATCCTGCGTTGGTTCTCCCTGAAGCTGACACTGATTGCTAAGGGTGCCTGCTCCACAATCACAAAAGAAGCGATCGTGTCGGATAAATTCAACGTCGTGGCCTGAATGGCAGGAACGGATACAATTAACACAAATGGCGTTACGCTCGGTAGTATTACATGTACGACATCGGTAGAAATCATGCATCGGAAATGATGTATAGCTGCTAATCTTGTAGAGGCATTGGCCACCTGCTACGGCTTTTTCCACTGCGTCGTGATTACCGTACAGCCGATTGTTTTTAAGCTGAGGAGATACTCCACTTGCTAGGCATAGGCCGCCGAAACGATTGTTGAATACCTGTATTATCAGAGAGAAAGAACGTCGCTTAATCGATCATCATCTTTTTAACGTTGCGTCATCATCGTTGTCACATTAGGCGACAAAATCCATATGTCTTGTACAAAATGATTTCAGAATTATATTGAATTGAAAAAAAAGAAGATAGACAAAGAAAACAAAAATAAAATGGGCATTTTGCTATTGCTCTCGCTTCTATAGTCCAAATAATTTCCTCTAATACGGAAGGTGACACAAATTGAAAATTTTAACAGTTTTTAGTAAAGGAAAAATGAACTATTTCTCTGCATGTGTTTACTGACCTGGTTTCCCTCGAGCGTTGCCGTGGCGCTATTAGTGATCTCGACGCCGGCTGCAAGCCCATCAAATATACGGTTTTTCCGCAACACTGGGTGACTTTGCGTTGAGATCAGCACACCCGCCTAAGTAGAAAACCATAGAAAATATCAGTTAAATAAGTAACCAACAACTTAGTTTATAGGTAAATAGCGATGTTATAATTTAGTTTATAGGTAAATAGCAAATTATCAGGCTAACTTAATAGCTGTCGATTACACACTCGACTGTGCTCTTGATTAAAATCATGTGACATGTGTACCTGTGCATTCCGGAAAATGTCGTTTTCCTCAAGGACACCTTTGCCTCCATTGAAAATACAAACGCCTCCGTCTCGACCATCGTAAATTTTGTTTCGTCGAAGAGTCGGGTTAGAATCTGTTTTGATCCATACACCCGCCATAGCGTTATCAAAAATCTCATTGTGCTCCAGAACGCCAAGTCCTGCCAATCGTAACGTATAATTTTGTTATACTCCTACTTCTTCCATAATACTTCTAGAAATTGATAAATTATTTTTGAAAAATCGTTTTTGAATTATTTGATGCTGTAAAATATACAAATGTTGCGATTGATGATTGAGGTACATTTTGAAGCTAATCCCAACATTTAAACTTCCAATTTCTCGCGTCTGTGTCGATATCTAGAGCGGAATGTTCATCGTATTCGCGCAGACGTGTAATGTACAGTGACATTTTAGATCATATGGTACACTAATATACGGCCGCTAATCAGACTTCCGTTAGAATTAGCAGCAATTAAATGTTTCATAACCCGTCGTCACTTTCTGCCAAACTCATCATTCATGTGGAACAACCAGCTGTTTTCACAGATATGGTTAGACCGCCAAAATATTGATGGTCCTTAATTATTGTTAGAAACACACTAATAAAATTAGTCGCTACTCAGGTGTTATAGTCTACATAGAAAACGCTTCTTATAATATTCTCCAGGAGAGCGCTATGCTCTGTAAAAATATATACTTGCAAGAAAAGGCTATTTTTTCGCAACAGGTAACCAATGGTTGCAATTAAATTCATGAAATAATCATAAAACAAGATGTAGAACCTTGCAGGTACTTCAGACAACAGGTAATACAAAGAAAATCAAGATAAAATAAACTAGATGTAAACGTTACACAGCGCACAGGTATAAACTACAAACCTCCATTGTAGACAAGAACTCCGCCATTTTGGCCTCCCCAAATTTTGTTCCGTCGAATCATTGGGTTACTTCCTGTTCGGATTTGAACGCCGGAGTACAGATGGTTGAAAATGTCATTTTCTTCAAGTCGACCATGCCCATTATCGTAAAAATAGACGCCCACCTGCTTTCCAGAATGAATTCGATTCCGCCGTAGCACTGGCGTGCTACCCGTTGTAATCCATACACCCGCCAAAGTATTAGCATACACCTACACATAATAATAAAAGAAGTACATATAGTATAAAGCTTTTAACGAAAATTTAGAAAAAATGAACTTACCAACAGCTCATCCTTTCTGTCGTTGTTTCATACTGTGAAACAACGTGTGAAACACTGTCTAACATTCCACGATTAAACTAAAAACAAGGCATAACTACACATCCTCCCTTATTTTTTTTTGACTTATTTGCATGTAATCAGCTTATTAAAAAAAGCCTCTACTACGCGATTCAAATCAGTGCAATGAGTCTGATGTATATGTGGCCCTTTGGAAACCACGCACCGCATACGCATACGGTAAGATAAGGAGTGCTCCGATCTGCTTGGGGTTTTGAAACCTCAGATCGAGAAGCACCGCAAGACTGTTTTTAGAATACAAACGTGACAGCATAGAACGTACAACAATTATTGATAAAATTTTATTGAATACAAATCAGAACGGGCAAGCTTTGCGCAAAGGTTGAATGATATCTCCACTGATAGCTGTACATGGATGTAAATCTATATCAATCGCATGTTAAAATATGCAAATACTTTTATATATCTTTTTACGAATATGTAATACTGAAAATTAAAAGTAACAAACTAATAGAAAAATAGAAAGAAAGTTATCCTTAACAGCATTGTGCCTATAATACGTCAATTATAAGTGCCAACGGAAAAGTCTGTAATCTATTCTGTTTGCTCTCATATACTTACGTTGTCATAATTTATATTTCTCTTTTTTTAATATCTTTTTTTATATTATATATATATATATATATATATACATATATATATATGTACAGGTATCAACCTGCATAACAGCTCATGCACTAATTAAAATACTTTTTCGATGTTATTGAATATGTAATTTCCAATAACATTTAAGATAAATCCACCTTGTTTCATTTATTGTAAGCCTACCTCGTTTTCCTCGATGAGTCCTTGGCCTTTCTCATGAACATAAATGCCTCCATGTTGCCCGTGATGGATTTTGTTATGGCGTACAATAGGGTCTGAATTTGTACGGATCTGTATACCCGCTAAGGCGTTACCGTGTATATTATTGTGCTCGATTAGGCCACGACCTTCTCCAAAGATATAGACTCCCCCCTGGTGACCATTATAAATATCGTTGCGCCGTATTGTCGGGTTGCTGTTAGAAGTTATCCATACTCCAGCGAAGTTGTTAGAATGAATCTTGTTGACGAGAAACTGGCCTCGCCCATTCTCGTGCACATACACCCCACCAGTTTGTCCATGGTGTATTTCACATCTATAAAGGCAATATGCCATACAACACAAACAAATACAATAAGAAACAAATGTCATGAGGTATCTCGCTCAATTATAAAATTAATTTCTAAAATTTATATTAGAATTATAATTTTAAAAAATATAGTCGACGTTGTTGAATGAATTATATATTCTACTTTACTATTGATATAGAAATAAATACGTCTTATTGAATTAGCATGCTGATTCGTGTTAGTAATATAGGGATGCCTGTTATAAAAATAAACACGTTCGTAAGAAGAAAATTCGGCTGGCAGCTGAAGCCCCTTAAATCGGTGATTTTAGTCATAAAAAAGCTCATTTTTCAACACAAAAATGCCCTCCTGGCATTAAAATAGTTTTTTTGTAAACCGGTTCGTCTTAATAGGATTTTATCGTACGCACCGGACAACTGTGGGGTTAGCTCCGGCTTTAACTTCAAACCCGGCGATCCGGTTGTTGTGAATGTCGTTTGCTTCAAAATAGCCCAACCCATTGTCGAACGTAAACACCCCAACGTCTCGGCCATGATGAATGTGGTTCCGTCGCATAACCGGGTTTGCATGATTTTTTACCCACACTCCAGCTAACGCATTCCTGTGTATTGCCAAAAACACAAAGAAATTCAATTATTATTACGATTAATATTAACATCATCTTTCGGCTTTCGATCTTATTCTAATTAGCTAGTTGTTTTGAATTTTACTACAGGTACTGCTCTTAGGTATCGCTTTAAATGGCTACTGCCCAGTCTAGAAACTTCTCATATGAGGGAACCATATGCTCCTCTCATTGGTAAGCAAGCATGTTACTACCATATATCCTTTCGAATCCTATCACCTACCTATTCTGAATGCTATGTCGAACTGCGAAAACAATCGACTTAGCCGTGGGTATAGGAATTCTATATACCATATGCAGAATGCCATCCAGTGCAACTGCGTAATGGTTTGCCAATCTAGTTTTTCTAGAGGAGTTAAATTGTTTATAAAATCGGTGCGAAGCTTTCAGAACTTGAAACTGCTCAGTTTAGCGATGCTTATGTCCAGAGGCGTCAGTAAGGACTGATATGCTATGGTCGTCATAAAATGTACATACATGTGTTTCCATTAAGTTAACAACATGTAAACATGCTATCTTCAATTGATTACTACCCCTATATGATTTTCTACCGCAAAACAAGTATTTACTCCAGCACACGAGTTATATAAAAGAAATTCAAAAACAGAATATTTCATGATAAAAACAGAATTTTGTTTCAGAAATAATATTAATATTCTAAACAGCACTCAATAAAAATAAACAATCACTCACCTAGATATCTCGTTTTCTTCATAAAGACCCTGCGCGTGATCTGTTATGTACAGCCCTACGTTCTCGCAGTCGGAGATGTCACAGTGCCGTAATGTCGGCTCAGCGCCGATTCCTGTTGCAAATGTTGCCACAATCCTTACGTTTATTTTTTTACGTTTACGTATACTTTTACGTTTATTTTACAACAAATTTAGATAGAATTGGTGTAAAAGTAGGGAGTTTTTTTAACATCGTGCTTAACATAGATCCGAAGAAATAAGATTTAGGCGATCGAAAGATATAGCTTAATCTTGACAAAATGCTACAATATGTATCGGTCACCTTTTCCATAAAGAATTTCTTTTATGAAAACACGAGATTTTCTTCGTCGTGAACTCCAAAAGCTCTCGACAAAATTGACCGATAAGAAGATGCTAAAGCAAACGAATTTTTGGCATAAACACTTCTATCTTTGAGCACGGTAACGGAATCTAGGCCTATGCACAATTTGTTATACAAATGTGTTTAGACATAACATCGTGACCTGGTGAAACAAAAGAGATTTCTGGTCAGACGTCAAACGGGAACTCGATTCCTATTTTTCAGACTAATATTCTTAAAACATTATGGAGTATCTATCCGAGACGTCTTTTACCAAAGCATCTATCAACCTTTATGTTCAATCTCAGTTCATGAACGTAACGGTTAGTTCAATATCAGAATGCCGAACTCTATAAATACCTGTTTGTTAACTTTTTTTGTGAATACATATACATCTCAGGGTTTTTCTCGACGACCTTTACTAAATTAGCTTTTTATGGGCCTTCTCTGTTTCTTTTTTGTTTTGAAATAGGCGTTTTTAGTTATACATATCATGATATAAGTAATGCAAGAAAAGATACCTCCGAAAACTTTTATATTTTTCATAAACTCGTACTACCTAACCTAAGTTGCATGACTAACATAGTTGCATCATTTGTTGAACAATCTATTTCTGCATAAACAACAAAAAAACACGTCCTCTAATAAAACATAACGTAAGTAATATATTTTATGCTAAGGTTGGCTTATCTATTTCATCACAAATTTAGTTTTTATATTTTTTACATTTATAACTAACTGTCCTTACTGGTCAAACGCTTGTTGTGTGATCCACTATAGCTATTACTGCTAATGCTGAGACATTTGTGAGACTTAGTATTAAAGACCAAGTGAATAAATTGATCATATTCGATAACAGACAACTCCACTCATGCAGTATTTTCTAACTACATTGCTCCTGTAGGGATACGTGTTTTAAATTTTGAATGAAAATGTAATTTTAGGCACCTCGATTTTAAAGAAAAGTCATAGCTTTAAAGAAAATAATTTTTGTCTATATAAGATAAACTCAACTGAAAAGCATCTAAGAAAGGTTATCGTCTTGCTCCTTAGCTCAGGCTTAAAGACACTTATTATTCAATATTTTTTCATGATTGAAACGTACTTTGTTAATTAAAGCATAGTATGACCATTTGCAAACATTAGAAGTGAATTAGTAACGATAAACATTATATTGAGGTTGACTTTATTAATTACAAAATGCTTTCATACCTGATACGCAAACAGCGGCTCCCACAACAGACTGAGAACGAATAATACAATGATCAATAATAGGCGCCGAATTTTCATTTATTTCCAAGCAGTAGTGTTTGTGATGGGGAACTGAAACCACGTAAGTTCAGATGAACGTAGTAAATTTGTAAAAAACGGTAGAACTTCTCTGCCTTTTATATATTTAACTAAAGTAACCACGTATTAAGAGAATATAGGCTTCAATCATTTACTTAATTAATACTATTACCATTTGAGCAGACTTCTGGAGCAAATCGTAGTGTGACATAGCCGAGATAAGACCCACGACTACCTTCAACAAACGTAATTGTCGATTCCGTGTCGCGCTCTAGAACTACAGTTTCCGCTGGATTCCAGCCGGGTCCACACCCGAGCATATGTACGGGACTGTCCACTACTAAAAACTCATTCTTGTAATTTCCACTATGAATTAAGATAAGTGGATGTAATCGTTCAGGTGTAGTACCCAAACATCCGTTACGTCCGCTGGATTCGTCGTCTCTACTGTTATTAATGCCGGATGAGACAGTTAAGCTATGTGGCCCTTGGTGGCCCGATTGGTGCGCAAAGGTAGTTCCATTGGTAGTGCTGTCCATTTCTTCCGTATACGCAAACGCACTTTCGATTGTATCAAAGTACGCTATCGTTCTCCCTTTATACCTGCAAGTTTAGACGTAAATGTAGCCTTGAAGCTCGCAGGTGACTGCAGCTAACTTTTGCATTAAATAAGCCTTTTCAACCTTTTTTTATGACACATCCTGAATTGTGCAACCCAAATCACCAACCTTTCAGGATTAGATTCAGCCTTTGTTTGCCAACCGGGACGAACGTGAACTCCTCTGTAAAGCTGCCGGAAGCTCTCCTTCCATGGATTGTCCGCTAGCACTAGTCCACATGCTGAAATAACAACATCTTACTCGATTCTAAAACTAGAATAGATGTAGCGCAGGAGGATACTATAAAAACTGCTTAAGATTAGACTCGGTTGAGGGAGGGAGGGGGGGGGTCTGCTCATATATTTGACTTCTGTGGTCAGATTCATACAACAAAAATGAATCATATTGGATTGACCTTAAAAAAATCAGCTAAGCATATTTCAACACGGGACTAAATAATACTTAATCATTTTTACATATATAAGTTGATTATTCAATGCATGGTTACGTATCCATGGATACGGTTAGGTACCTGATAGTGTCAACGATGACGACGACAATGATGATGACGACGATGGTGATGAGATTCCGTTTCCAAGTTGATAGCTATTAGCATGTAATCCTAAAAAAATATCTCTATGTTAGGGCCCTCTACCGGTTAGAGCTACAACCCTATTTTTGTAGGTCACAAGTGTGACAACACTACAAAGTACATTTGTTTCTCATTTAAACCTAGTTGCTTATGCACATTGTAAGGCGATTACGAGGTGAAACTAGGTTTAGTTACATAATCTACTATATTAACCTCCCGATAGATAACACCAGTTAATGGACACAGAAAAATAGTATCAACTTCCTTTATTATGGTGATACGTCTTGATAAATGATTGGGTAGAACAGCGAACTGTAAATGTTCGTAACTGGTTGCAAAACAATACCATGATTTGTTTGCGAAACATTGCCGGCATCGGCGAGATGGCCTGAATGAGAAGGCCTAACTTCGGCCGATGATCCCGCAGGTGTTGTCCGTTCAGGTGAAATCCATGGCTTAACGAGCATTCCAGGAGTCACTCCAGAACCATTCGAAGTTCCTAATGTAATGAAAAGATTAGTTTCTTCAAAGACTGCTTCAAAACAAACTTAACACTTGTAGGGACCCGTGGAAAACAATTGTGAGAATCAGGATGAGACTTCCGAAGCAAAGATTATAAAAATGCCCAATTATTTATAAACAAGCATTACTTTTTAAATTTCAATTGATATGGCATTGATCGATTCAGCCATGACCAGCATACGTTTAGGACCTGTAAGCCGCGGTAGGCACCTATAATAATCTTTTAGTTAAGTAAATAATATGGCAAGGTTGTCCCTCGGGTCCAAAGTGAGCCCCAAAACAAGGTTCATTTTATAAACACTTTACTTTTATGTAGCATTATTATATAAGTCATTATGAGTTTGAGCTCATTTTTAAACACAAACAGATGCCAACAACAATTACTTATATTTTGGGTAGTTTAAATCCAGCTTCATCTGGTTAGCTAACTAAAACAACCAAGCTCAAAACCGACCGTATGGTTAGTAAATGTGGCACAGGATTCATCAATAGTTGTCAGATAGTTTTTTTTACCTTCATGTCCAAAATAATCAGACACTTCATGTTTTTTCGTCTAAAAGTCATCTAAAAGCCATAGAATTTACTGCACATCTCAGTTGACAAGGGAATTATGCTCTTGCTAGTTTGCTAACAAATCATCCACGGTGGAAAGCCCGTAGTACTATGTGAAGTGCAGCGTAATTCCCGCGACATTATATTGCTTACTATTGCAATGGGGATTACAATAGAAGAACCAATGTCAATATAGAATTCAAATATCAGATTTTCACACTTTTTCCATAATAATTTCTAATTAGACTATTTTTTCATTTAGATAATTAATTAAATTAGCAAAGATTATTTGGAGTGTAGCAATAATAATAAATGTAGTGCTTCTTCTTACCAGGACCTGTGGAAATGCCCTGCAAGGCTGGGGGAGGGCTTACGGCTCCTGCACGATGCCCGTCGACAGCCTCGTGAATAACAGGTGGCACAGCCGGCTGATAAATAGCTGGTTGCTGTTGAGATAAATGCAAAACAGAACCGCTGGTAGAGGAAATATGGGCACTCGTAGCCCCAATATTTCCTCCGGGTTGGACGAAGTAAAAACTTGCACTGCCTCCCTGGCTTGGACCACCAATCATTAGTGGAAGCTCATACTCGAATACACTTTGATATAGGCGTTTCCAGAGTTCCGTGTCGCACGCTAAAATATGGCATAGTAGGAGCCATTAATTCTTTGATTTACCGTAAATAGCCCTTGAGTAGGGTTTTAGAATTTCATATTAAAAGAAAATGTCTAATCCGACACGACTTGAAACAAGAATAACAAATACACATATCAAGTACGCAGAACTAAGGCAATACCTGCTTTGATAAGCAATAATTACACAATGCTTCATTGGTTGTCAGATTCGCCTATAATACAAACGTGCTATTTTTGACATGCCCCTTTCGGCGAAGAAGAAACAGACTGATAAAAAGATTATCCATGGAATGCTAGTTCAGATAAACTTTAAAATAAACTGGTGTCAAGTGAAAATGTATAAAATATATTTATATGCAATTTCTGTACGTAAGACAGAACGATTAAATATTAAATAACTGACCTATAACGTAAAAACGTCGGCACACCTGTGCCAGCCGACATAAATCCTGTTCTAACAAAAAAGACGCGATATTCAGTAGCAATTCGTCAGGAAGCTCTGTGATTTCAAGGCCACGTGTCGTCGTTTCAGCTACATCAGTCTCTACCCGCTCCGCTTCAAGATTTGAAGGATCGGTCGAACCACTTGCGGACGAGCAGCCGTTCGCTCCCATCATGCCTACATGATATTGTTCCATGTAGAAGAATTTCATACATTTATCTTTTAAATAAGTCTTTGTCTATGAAGTCTGGGTGAAGTTAGTAATACAGTTTTCATTAGTTTAAAGAATACGAACTGCTCGATCCTGATACATATTGACGACTTCGAGAGAAAAGGTAGATGGCTACAGTTCAGCTAGATTACAGTTTTCTGAGAGTTCAAAAAATAAATATAGATCTTTTACAGTTTGTTTATCTGAAAATCCATTTAACAGTATATCTATTTTGTGGCTAAAAAGGTTCATGATCAGAGATAATAGGTTCATTATTTTGCTTGTGGCTTACTTTGCAATTTCTGAAAAGGGCAATTACAAAAAGGCATCAATGCGTATATTTATCACTAACACTACTGTTCTACATCGGTACCTTCAATCGATGTTTCATTATGGCCTAGTGGAGAGGAGCTGCCTACTGACGCACTCGTAGGAAGTACCGGTTCAAGAGCCATCAACTCTGAACAATGTGCATCCAAACACAGCGGCTCCTCAGGAGATGAACTGCCTGTGCGCCGTTGGCGCTTTCGAGGAACAGTTGCCCCCCAATTAGGTCCTCCGTCGTAGAGTTTTCGACGCAAATCGTACGGTGGTTGATGTGGGGCTACAGCACCCACTGCACCCAGTGGACCACACGCCGAAGCTCCTACTGGTGCATCTGAAAGGACGACTTAATTGTTAATATTATGGTGTTCTCCAGTCTATTGAAGACTTGCTTGAGGTTGCGTAAATCAAGAGCCTAGGTGCTATATATTATTAGCCTTTAGATATATGTTCATGCTTAAACTATACGCAGTGAAAGACTATATTAAGATATATGTTGACGTATTAGCGTATACAGGTCACTTCGAAATGCTTGTCGCTCTTTGAGGGGATAATAGAACTGTAGAGTTCTATTATCAGTAGAGTTATGAAGGAGGTTTTTCTTAATATCACGGTGAAATGCTGATGTTAATTTACTGACCAGGGTTGAAAATTGGAGGAAAGAAGGTGACTAGGTAGGTATCATGGAAGTATTAGGTCGTTCTGTGTAAAACGTAACATTGTGAGCTCTAATATTTCGAACCTTTTCTTAAGAATAGTTCTTTCAGTGTCAGTCGAAGTATGCACTATTATCATCTATATTTTTCGGTCATTCAGAGGTAACCTATTTTTTCGTTACAGTAAGGCCTGGGGTCCAGGGTCTATGAAGTTTCGAAAGGCAATCACGTTGACATGAACTTTTTTGCTCAGCTCCTGCGGTGTGAGGTCGTGCATTATCGCGCATAAGGAGTGATGGGTCACCTTCGTTTATTAGTCTTGGCTGCTTACTGCAGAATTTTTCATCATCTTCAGTTGTTTTAGCCGTAGTCGACGAATCAGGACTCATGGAGCTGTAGTAGATAACACATACACTAGGCTACTAACCAAACGTTACAAGCTTCACAGCTGTACCTTTGCTTTAGAGTAATGGCCCGCCAGTCCAGTTACATCCATCTAATGATGCAACTGTTTGTGAAAGATACACTTTTGACCGCAATTCGAAATTCGGTACAGGAATCGGTTCCATTTGTAACGAGAAAGCAAACGGAAGTAATTGTTTCTACGTTCGGTGCTTGATTCCTGCTCAAATCATGCAGCACCAGTTTATTCAACTTCTTTCACTATTAATTTGACATATACCAAACCTGAGTGCTAAGCCTGTGCACTTTGAAATGATCCGGCTTCCGCAACAGCACTTAACTCTTCTTTATTCAACCTCGTTAAGGGTGTTTCATGAAATTCACTTTCAAGTTCAAAGTTGCCTTTCCAGAGATTAGTGTTAGAACTTTAACTGAACACCAGGTTCAAACTGTTTACTCCGCTGAAGTTTCAGCGAAACTCATAGTCGTAAACAACTCGAATTTTCTCATCTTCTCGACCTCACTACAACTCGCCTGCAAAAAGCCTGAGTGAAACATCTGAGTGAGAGATATCAGATTTTAAAGAGTATAAAGGCATCCCGAAGTGTCGCGAAATGTCGAATTCTTATATAATAAGGTTATCTTGATATATGAAATTGCTTATCGCGTTTCATATTAAGCAACCTAATATATAATTGTGTGATAAATTCTGAATCGGTTGAGAAATTAAGGCAGATCATGCGCATGTAAAGAAGAGCCTGTTTTTTTGTTAGTGCTAGTGAGTCACTTGGTTAAAGGCAAGTGGTAGCTGCAAGCCAAACAATAGATTCTTTTTAATTCCGTATGCTTGCTTTTTCAGCTTTAAAATCCAACCATTCGACAACTTTTCTCTACTGCTGAAAGTTTAGAAGTATTCGCGTGAGGATGCTCTGCTCTATTACCACTCAAATGCCAATGAGGGTGGTCAAATGATGAGCCAAATAAGTTTACTCGCGAAAGATCCTAACGTAATATTTTTTGACATAATCTATGTCTGACGATATTTAGCGGGTGACAAACTTTAGGTCAACTCAAACTACAAAAAACCAACAGATGAAACTTGGTACATACCAATATAAAATTAAAGGACTCACTATGTGCGGCTACAAATGTATTTCGAGAGTTATGTTCGATTTTTATCTGTTAGACAGATAACTCGCTCTCAGTACGAACCAATGTGTGCCTACGCTCGCTGACGAATTCAAACTATCATGTGTATCTTTTCAGTTCTGTAGGTAGTAGTTTAGTAGGCAGACACGTTACCACTGCGTTATTACGGAAACTCTTCGCGACTAAGATAAACTGCTTAAGTGTTATCACAGCGGAGATAATTCGCGTTATTTTTACTACAAAAAGTCTGATGCACACAGTCTCCGCAGACGGAACATCGAACGATCTGTATCGTCCGCCAGAGAAGGTGAGACTGACGTCGAACAGGGGTGCCCCACATTTTCCAGATTAAGTTCATATAATTCTGACTGCTTGCAAGCCTTAATCAGTGCTATAAGTAACGCAGCGTATCCTTCCGACAATTTTCTTAAATTTTCTTCAATAAGCCAAAACTGGTTATGGTGGCCTAAATGCAAAACACATAGCTCCCGATAAATTTCCAGGCTTCGATGCGAAACCAGAACAGGAGAGTACGACATACTAAAAGATCGTTGTTCCATTTCATACACTTCAGAACCTTTTCCAGTACACCAATAGCTCCAGACAACAAATATTTTGGCAGAATTTAAAAAATACTCTATTTTTGAGTTCCGTTTATATCACAGCGCATTCACCCAGTAGCGACCGTTTATCGCCACATACAGAAGATTGTTTTTGAAGATATTGAATATTTCGAAGAAGATCGGATCTTCAAAGAGTTCAGGCAGTGAGGCCACCTGACTCTTTTGTTAGTATGCGTGTCTATTTAAACAAAGTAAGGTAGAATTGGTTGCTATTAATTAGCCTACTGCTTGACCACTATCATTATCTAATCTGGCAAGTGTTGATTTTTTATTAGTACAAACGATATGTCTCGTCTGCAAAGATAGTTTTTAACTTTTTTGAATTTCCGTTAGTCTTTCTTCACTGAGGTACTCTTCATTGGCTTCAGATATTTCCGATATCTTTGCAAACGTAAATCATTTCTTTTTTGGTGGGTATCAAACGTATCTGTTGGTTAACGCTCGTTATTTTGAGCACTTGATGTAATACTAACAAAAAAAGCCACCTTACAAGTTCTACGTTCATCTTTGACTAAGTCAGTAAACGTTCCGTTATTACTGCCCACGGCTGACACTCGTTTGTGAATCTCGAGAACTATATTAGAGTTTTAAGTATTAGTATGATAAATAGAACACAAGCGTAACGCTTTGAGCAAGACTTCCAGCCATGCAAGAAGGTTTTCGAGAAATTTCATTTTCCAAACAGGAAATAGAAGTGGGCTTAGTTAAAAGTTCCCATTATTCGGCTTATTACTGTCACATGAATTTAGTCAACTAATTGACATGGTTATTAAAGGAAAAAATTCTGCTATGCACGCATATTTTCACTTCCTTAATCAAGCCAGATTTCTAACGCAGTCATATTTGTTAAGGTGACATCTATCAAATCACATCCTTTATAAATTTTAACATTTAGTTGCAGAATTAATACCGGATTTCCATAGCTCTATTAAGAACATGCTGTATTTATTGAGCTTTATCACCCCCTAATAATCGATCTCAAAGAAGCATGCCGTACATATTAAGTTCACATTACACAATATATTGAATTTATTTCTAATAAATTTTATTTAAACATCAAGTCTTTGAAGTAACAACCAATAATCACATAGCAGTCTCATTTAATATAATTAGCATATATTAACAACAAAAACAGCGTGGATACATTATAATAAGCCATGCCTAATACATCTCAGTAACTCTAATCAGAATATTTTTTTTAATGCAATGGTTCTAAGGCGACAAGGAGGTTTTAAATTCACCGCCTGGTTTCTGCACTCAACTGATTGAGCTTGCAGCACGCTATACTTATTTAGAATACTGGCGGCGTTGAAACTAAGATGCACAGTCGCTGCTCAATTAAATAGACTCAAACTCAATCAAATAGTTATAACTTTTAAGGACAACTGTGACGCTCTGAGGCAAAATATTTTAGCTTATAAAAGATGCACTATATTACTTTACAGTCGAAAAGGATATCGGCACACATTTTCAAACTGCTGACAAACGATTTTATATGTAAAACTGACATATCCTATTTCAGCGAGTGCAGGCGTGACAGATCGCTTTAATTAAATTTCCGCAAGTCTAGCATTCACATTTCGTGCTGATATCATGTACTATGTAAAACTGATGCATTTTATTCACCATCTAACACGACTGTTGCCGGCGCTGAACAACTAAGTAACTGTGTCTGAGTGAGCGTTATCTTACGTCTTGCGTGTTCCTGTACGTAGTATCGAAATGGGGAGAGGAACAGGTGTCACTGAGGAATAGAAGGCGTTGATTAACAGAAGTCCACAAAACTGCGAATTGTCTGAAGTCGCGAAAGTGCTTAAATGTCTCATGTTTCCTTGCATGCAGTCACCAACGTTGCTACGAAACTGGGGGAAAACCTATCGCTGTCTTCGCGTAAAATCGGTAATAAAAATGGAAAAAAGTATAATACGAAGCGGGAACATCGCGTGATTTTTATGAACTCCAAAAAGGTAGTTTCATCTTTTATAATGTCTTCCGTCAAAGATTAGGAGACCATAGACTCACCGTGTCGAAAATACGCTTCACCGCTAAGTCAAGGAGGCTAATGAACCTGCTAAGAAACTTCGGTTAAGTATTCGAATGAAACGAACCCGTCTTCACTGGACAAACCCAGTCAAAAGTCGGACCATTGACAACTACGAAAAGGTCTGTTTTTTAAACGAACCTTACTTTAAGATTCACTGGAGAAATGCCCATTATGTCTTTAGAGAATTTGGCAAAAAGTTTTTCGAAAATCCCGCCGTGCCGAATATCAAATACTCATCAAAGGTTATGATTTAATCTACGATTCTGGCAAAAATACTAAGATCATGCATTTTGCACAAGGAAATCTAGAGCAGTAGGAATATGCTGAGGTTATTGAGAGCAAGACGCTACTTTAGGTACGGAAATGGTTCCCTGATGGAAACTACGTCATGTCCAGGTCTTACCGTGATCTGCTTACTCAGTAAATCTCAATTGCATTAGAACTTATAAAAGTTCATCATGTTACGGGTTCGCGTAGGACAAGTAATAACAGCAGTTCCACATCATCGTAAAGAAATTACTAACGTGTGGTAGCATGGTCCACCCATAACCGTGACTGCCAAAAGCTATATCACAAACATTTTTCGAAGTATGGCGGCAGTTATCACTGTAAAAGGCGGTACAACAAAATACTCATGCTCTCAACTATATCACATTGTTTATTATCAGTTTCTTTACTAACGTGATGATTCGTATCATGATTCTTTAATAACGTGTAAAAGACTAGAAGAAGTAATACCTCACTTGAATGCTTTCCAATTGGACTTAAATGTTGAAACTATTTGATTTAGTTAATTTCAGTATACTTGGTCGAGCGCCATCTATAATTCGGTTCATACTAGATATGTCCATTATTTTATGCAGAATACTGGGAGCGCGTGTAACTATAAAACAGTGAGAACTTCATGATAAAAAAATTTCTAAAAACGCAATATAAGCACAATAATAAGTGTTAGGATAACTCCCTAGCACGAATATAGCGCAGTTAGCACATTTTAGGCATATTCAAAAAAAAATGACTAGTCCATTTTAATTTTGGCTCGAATGTTAAACCAAGACACTTTCAAAGTTCGACTGACATATGTTTATGGAGTATGAGAAATACTAAAAAGAATACATTTCGTTTTGAAAACTTTACGGAAAGGTGTATCACAGCCGCTTCTAACGTCAATCATTCTTCATACTTGAGGGCACTAAAAAATAGAAGTCTGAAGTTAAGTAAATATGTATCAGCATGGACAATTACATACAATGTTTGCTGGGAGATTTTAAATGCGATGAGCAGGCCAGCGAAATCCGCTTTTATAAGCATGGCAAATGCTAAAGCTAGTTTTTCGGTAACAGGCAAAAAAAATGAGAAGAAAGCAGAAGGAAGCGTTCTGGGAAGGACGTCGAGACATACGGAACATTGCTGAGCTGTTGCTCAGTGCTACAGCGATAAAGAACGTAAATAACTTAGTTATTTCATTATAACCTTCAAAAGTAATACCATCAGATTTCATAGAACTTAATGAACAAATCTTCATACAACGGCCGCAGAATTCGCTGATATGACGTTACTACAACTTAGCATCAGCGTAAAACATAGTGCTCCAACCTTTCTGAGGCAGTCTTGATTGACAATTAATCTATACTTCATGAATGCTTCGTAATATGTATTCTTACGTTATTACATTATTAATCGATCTTATGACGGACATATCTTTTTATTAGCTCATCAGAAATACGCCTGGAGCGACGAAGCTCAGCCGAAAAATTTCCAGGGTTGACCCGTTTATTAAAAGTAAAATTTTCCATCTACCAGTTTATATCGTTTATATACATATCAGGAATATTATGCAGGGTATCGTTAAAGAAGTTATCTGCAGAATCCACATCTGTAAACTCGCATGTTAGTCAGCAATAGAAGAAGGGCGCTAAAATATTGGTTAAACTTATTTGTACTAAAAATTCTTCTCGGACCCCTCAGGTTTTTAGAAAAGATTGTCAGGATATTAACGACTGTAATACCAGCATAATAGAAAGACATTACATACAAAAATACTATATATGTATAGATAAGCTGTTAGCACACATAAATATCGAGTTATCCAGAAAGCTTTAGAAAGATCTGGATCGAGTCGAGCCATTAACAACAAATTTATTTTCGTTTCTAAGAGCCGATAGAAATAATGCCACAACAAAAGGCTGATCGCGCATTTCGTATATATGTTTATGTATAATAATCTGAGTCTGAAGGAAAAGCATGAGACAGACACGTTGGTATATACCTGGAAGATGGTGTTGTTGGTTGACGCTAGGGCTGTTGCTGTGTTCATTGTCATGCGGCGGCGGCTGCTGCTGTTGAGCAGCAGTCAAAGAGGCGGCTGCATTGCCCGTTGCACTGGCGTTATTTGTGCCTGTGCTCAATGAAGCTAGATTGGCCGTAACTCTCGAACTTGGGTAATACTCGAGTGAATTTGAGGACGATTGTGGAAGCCTTTCTTCATACGGGGGTTCAATTCTTTCCTCCGAAACATTACTGCGTACGCTTCGGGTCCCGGAACTCATACTGCTACCTTGGCCTCCACTACTCGACGATGCAGTCGAACAACCTAAGTCGTAACGAGCAACACAAAACAATACGTATTATTAGTTCAAGTTTTATTAGGCGCATTTAAAGTAAAAATAATAACTATTTTAGTGCTTTCCATTAACTTTCACGTATTTGCTTGTTTGCAATTGAAACAAGAATGATAACACCCCTTCGATCATTTGTAATGTGTAATTACTATTACTTCAACTCTGTAAAGTTATTTATCAATAGTTCTTTCGTATAAGATATGCCGCTATCGATTTTGGATACTCCGGTAACCTCCTAGGTAGGTCGTCAAGTTCACAAACACGCGGTTTTCGTCTCGAACTCACATAACTTCTTTATAGAATATATCGTTTTATAGAATAGGAAACAAGCACTCGTAAAGAGGTAAATAAGCTCGATTTATTTTACTCCACATCTCTTAAGCGATTTGACCGGTTAAAAGGCTACTGTGCCCGAGAGACACACCAGTTAATGAAGCCATGAGTAGCAAGTGTTAACTAATATAAAGTACTGGAAAGGGAATGAGGCCATGTTTAGTTTAATAAACAAACATTTTTAGATCTGCCAATGATAGTGAAACAATTTCTTCTATTAGACCCAAAACGTTTTAACTCCTTATTCTTGAAATAACAATTTAAAAGGTCAGCTGGGTAAATATCCCTAGCCTTTGGAGCAGCGCCTATCTCAGAGAAGTTTTCCAAAATTGGCTGGACTATGATGAAAGGAGACTGTAGTTGTAAACTTTGGGAGTCCACTCTCTCATAAATAAAGCTCGGGTCCAGGTAAGAAGTAAAATTTAATTGGCATTTAAGCTAGGCTTTTAAAAGTTCTTATTAAATCGTTTGAAAGGTAATGGCCTCTCTCCTGAACGTCTGCTTTTTCTTTCATTCTCCTGCTGTTTGCCTACGATCTTACGATTCGAAATCAGATTGACCGTTTAAGATAAATGGGAACCTTCACATATCTCATCAATCATAACTCATTAAGTGATCGAAACAACGGCCTACCAACCATCGAGACTCATCGGGCATTTTGAATCAATCGAATTTTATTAAAAACCAGGATTCAGGATGCTCCATAAGTTGCATAAAGATAGTTTTCCTTTTTTTGTCGCTTTTTACTTTTTATGAGAGAATAAGGCTTCTTATTGCATACTTACCCAACTGAAAGAAAGAAAGCTCTTTCTTGAGGACCCAATAGGCAATCTACAATTGAATCTTTACAACTTTTTGCAAATGTTTATTACAGAGGGAAACATAATTCTTGCAGAGGGTACATATGACGATAAGATGTTTAAGCTATCGCATTTGCACCAGCTGAACTAACAAAGATTAAGCGAGAGATTTAGTCAATTACTTTGATGGTGACGCAGCCGTATGAAAACCGATCCCTCGCTGAAGGAACTCGAGCGCCAGCTTGAGGATTGTATGTTGATTGTTCTTTCCGCTGTTTAACTGGATGAACTGTGGGGGAACTCAAAACGTTTTATAAACTGGGAAATGCTTAAGGCGGTCAACAAGGATCTCTTTATTATTCAGCTCACTGACTCAATATGACTTTATGATTTAATTGTCATTACTGGAAAATGAAATTGGTAAAAGTACATTTGACTATGAAATAAGAAATTAAAATAAGATCATGTAAAGTTGCGACGACCATTTAATAAATGTGTATGTTTCTAAGATTTGAGTGCTCGGTTTTCTGCGAAGTAAAAGATATCACCATTACTCTCCAGATAACTTAATACATAACTTTTAGTGTGCATAAATAAAAATGCGTAGAATATTTAAATGAACATTTATAACTTCTAACGAAATTTGTTTGTGGCTTTGAGAGGTGACATATGAGCTCTTTTTTAGTTCTTGACTCTAGATAAGGCGTGATAGTGATAACAATCGCCTCTTGAAAATTAAGGAAAAAGCGACAGAACAACCTTTGAATATCTAAACATCGGTTAATTTCGCAATTTGACTTTAAACTAATAGAGATTTTGGCTGCAGATTGTGAAATATCTCTTATGAATTAAATTCTCGCCGGGATTCTTTGCCAAACCGAATAAGAGGCCACGTAGGCACACAGTGTAATTTTAATGCGTGAACTGCTGACGTAAGTGCCACACAACGTTGGTAAAGTTTGCATTTGATATGATCGTTATTCCAGGTTGACAAGTTGATGGATTATGGCAAAGCATTAATAAAAATTTTTCAGCCTTTTTTCTAAGTGCACGAGCCGTCGGAATCACCTTTATTTAGGTATAGCATCAAGGACATGTTTCCATTGAGACTCCAACCAGAGTGGGTTTTGCTGGAGTTTATTAGAATTTCTTCAATACAAATTGAAGCTATATAGGAACGACATAAGCAGTTATTAGTTCTCGTAATAATTTCCTATTTTCCTTAGGTCTTTATTTTTCTAATTATTAATTTATGGTAATAATTGTTGTTAACGTTAAAATTTGAACCAGTGTGGCATTATGTTTGCTAACTACTGTGGTAACGCACTCAGACATGGGCATTAAACACCTGCATCTCTACACTATAAGGGCTAGCCTGCCGTTTCAAACGTCTGCTTCGCAAACCTCCACTCAAGTCTAGCGAGACAATTTTAGGGATTTTTGAAGTGACATCGAGAGAACTTAAATTTTCCGCTTAGGAGGATAGCTGTGAGTCAACCCGAAATCACACTTACTTCTCGCTACGCTAGGGAAACTTCGCACACCGTTCGTACTGAACTCTAAACACTGAAAACGGCCCTGTATAAAGATACTATGAAATAGGTTTAATACAAAACCGGACATATCAAGGATTGCCTCAGATCGCTCGAGTAGAGAAATGTCAAAACTATTCAAGGAAGTACGAGAAAGGAGCCAAGCACCTCGATTCAGGGTTATGTATAAGAACTGTCGCTTTGTAGAAGAAGTTTGTGTTTAATAAGATCCAATCATAGACTGGATTTAATGGATCTATGGCGAGTTTAGATCTTGTATTCTGTTAATAATCTACCGACGATCTATGCAAGGGTGACTGTTATATCTTTCTTTAAGAGTGCGAGCACGGCCCTTTCGTATAACGTTCCGGTCCGCATTCAAGGTGAAAACAGCGCATACTTCATTGCTCATTGGAACGCTAAAACTCCCAAAGTCAGCTCCCTTTTGCATAGTGAATGCGGTTCCCCATCTTCAAACCATCATTTAACTTTTATTAACAAACTGAAGGCTTGTATTAAATTACTTTTGGTGCTCTAGCAAAGGAATTGTCCGGTCTTTCAGCGTCATCAGAATCTATAACGTACATTTGGCCTCATTAGGGAGGCTTGATTTCACCTTTGACCTGTTGTGTCGGATGTAGTGCTAAATCAATCTTACGATAAGTCGTACCAGCAGTGAAATGCATTTTCAAAGCAAAGATTCAATTATGTAATAACGAAACATAGGTTCTTTTTTGGGGTAAATGTTTATTGGCACGTAGCTGAGTTAGCACGTTTAGAAATCAGGGCGGCCCATACTTAATTCGTCATATGGAAAAACAGCGCTGACGAAGTTTTCTTCATTTGAAAAATGAACAAGTTCGTCAGCGAAGTGAACGGCATAACAGTATTCGCAGCTGAAATTTAATGATTCTTGGGTGTGTTTCACATGTGACACGGTGACTTTCAAGCAGATGGACTGTACCGATAAGAAACTCGATCAGGAGCACTGAGCTCAGCCAATGTGTTCTTTTAAATGTTGATTACGTGTTTACTTTGAGGTAGTATTGCACGTTACCGCATATATTTGTTTCATATGCAAAAATGGCGCTAAATGTAGCTTTATTTTCAAATATTTTATGTAAAGCGACACTTTACGATATTTTTTTTTGTTTTCAAAGTGTACTTATATTCTTCAACATATGAGACCCTTCCTTTAAATACCGCCCTTGAGTCTTTTATCAGGCTAGTTGCAGTGAGCTATAGAAAATAAAAAAATTTACGTAATTCTCAACTATGTGTTCTACCTTGGAACTATGGCGGCGAAGACAGGTCGTTATGCAAACCTTGTATTCGGCACAGGATCTGCTGCTTGAAATATTGTTAGCCGTTGGTTCCAAAAATTATGCGGATATTTGGATTTGTAAATGTATCATATGGAGGCCTCTACGCAAAAATTGATAACGAAGCCTTAAGCGCCGTAGTGGCAGCTGAAACATGCATTCAAGTACTCAAGTTTAATTTATGAAAATACCATATTTCTTCACCTTTTTATTTTCTGGTGGTCAAACCAATAATGTAAAAATGACATGTAAATGCCGCATGATTTGAATAGAGATAAAAAACGGAAGCGTACAGAGGTTCGCTTTAATTTGTTCTCGCTTCATAATCGTGGCCTATTATTGCACCAGGTTGTGACTCGTAATAAAGAACAAGTTTTCTACGATAATCGAAGACAGTTACGAAATAGATCCGCCGAGACATTACCATAAAGCAAAGGTATAGCCAAAAGCATAAGTTACACTTTTGGTGATATAATGTAGATATTATTCACCACAGCTTCATAAATCCTGTTGGGCGTTTACGGCTGAAGTGTACTTCCAACGACCGAAGGAGATTAAAAAAACTCCGCATTAAGCGGGCACGATTAGTGCATAGAGCTAAGCTTTTCCTACTGCATGATCCTATTCGATCTCCCATTACAAGAATCACGGTAGGAAAAACGAGAGAGTTACAGAAGGCGTGGTGTCATTCACCATACCCACCCGACACAAAAAAATAAATTATATTTTTCTTCAAAATCTCAACCCCGAATGAAACGAAAATCTCTCATATATCAGCATGATGTCAAAATCACTCTTTAAAACTTCGTAGGATTTCGTACCTTAAACTTTTAAATATAAATAAGACGTAGATGAATGAGATGAGATCATAGATGATAATAGTGCATATCTCAATTGAAAATAGACGAACTATTCTTGTAAAAAAAAAGTTTGAAACGTACACTTTGTCACATCTCATACTAAACGCTCTAATGTATTACGTCAC